CGACATAGTTTTGAAGCCTTCGTCATTCTACCAGGAGGCGTTTCGTGGCTACTCGCAGTGTCTACGGATGTACGCGCAACGTTTTAGTGGACGGGGATTGACGTGCAAATCAACGACAAGCCACAAGCGTTATGCATTCGGAGTGGCCATAGAGCTTTGATACAAACCCTGAGGGCTCAAGCAGCTGGACTTGTCTGACCGTTTAGACATACTATATTGGCTCCGCCACAAACCGCTCGCGTGCTGTATTGGAAGTTTGTGGTGGAGCGAACATGACAAGGAACAGACTATCAGCTGGTGGCAGCCAGAGTCAAGCTCAGGATGCGGTCGGATCGCTGATACGCCCTATTGCGCGGAAGCCAAAGTGGGTTATCCGCAGGTGCCGCACGTTCAGTGAAGCTGACGTGTGGTTTGACGCCACAAGCGGATTTCCAGGGAATGCCATGACGCCTTCCGTCTTGGGGATATACGGTACACGGGCACAGCAAGAGAAAGCGTCAGCCCACCTTGTTCGTGTAAGTGGCGTCGTAGAGGGTCGCGGATGTTCTGGCGGATCAAGACTAGGTTCGTAGACAGTCCTTTGCAGGGGTGGGCAAGCAATACACGCTATGCAAGGGTCCGTCTTAAGTAGTCCCACCTGGCCGCGCCGCCGTGTCGACAATCCTCAAGGGCCGTTGTCCATCTTTTCTCCTCATATAGGCAGGCTACAATGAGTCGTCTAGCCGATCAGCCTCGTCGTGTGTTGCTCAGTGGCTCGTACTCTGAGTCGGCCTGGGAGGCGCCACTCAATATGCTCTCTGCCCAGCTTGCACACGGCCACTGCTACCCAACCGAGACCCGAAAAATAAAGGCTGCCCGCTGAAGAAAGGAGCACACACCGAGACAAGCACAGCTGGTATTGCTTTTCCCTTGTCGTTTGCGACAAAGCGGAAACGTCTGGAGTCTTAGGGGGGGGAGCCCCGTGGGCGGAGCATTTTGATTGGCCTGTGCTGCCCATGTACTGCCGAGTCAGATACAGTAGTATCTTTCTCTCGCTTGCCCGTAGCAGAAACCGAGACTGCGCCTACCATGGTCGCACACACACACACACATAAGCTTGCCGGGCGAGGCTCAGGTGCGAATCTACTCTATTTGTCTGGGCAGCCATGGGCTGAGCAACTGCAACCGCAGCTGCCGACTGGCATCATCGGGAAGGGCGTTGTAAAGAAGCGTGCAGGATCGCTGCAGTGCCCACAGTATGACGATATTGGGGTTGCATCCACCACGTCCCGCCCTCGTGCACACTACGATCCAAGTATCGATCGCATCTCATCTTGGGCATAGGTACATTGACGACATGGCACGAGCATGACACCCATCCACCGGCTCAACAACCCCGGTCCACTGCATTGCAGTAATCACCGGCAGCCCGCATGTGGAGCTAAAACTGCACGATACGATTCCCACGCTGCTGCCATGGATGCGTGGCATGGAGGGAATGCGAATCCGCACGCTTTTTCGCCTCATGCACTACGTCAAGAGTCCCTCACCCATCAAAAAGCCTTGGTCGACAGAGGCTCATCACGTTTGCAAGCGAGTAGTCAGCCGGGCTTCGCGCCAGACCGTAATGGCTGCACCCGTCATTACACTTCCGGAGTAGACGACGTTCAGGACTGCTCAAGGCAACAACAGTATGCAAGAGGTAGAGCTGTGCCTATCAATCTTGCATCTCGGCTCGCAAATCGATCCAATGGCGTTCCTCTTGCCACTATTGTTGAGCAAGGTTCCTGCTCCACGCTAAACTCCAAGAGCTCCCTCCTCAGTGTCTGTCCGTTTGCCTCGTTGCGGGCGGTGGAAAATACGTCACCTAACTACTATGCTTTACCCCAGGCCCCGCTGGCTCTCGATGGGCGTGCTCTCCAGCTCAATGTGGAAAATGGGCAGCCAGAGTTGGTTCTAGATCCAACGACTCGAGAGTCTTCCAAGCCATCTTACAAGGATATCGGCAGCTTGTCTCCGCAGGATAAAACCACCACTCCATCTTTACAGACTATTTTGGATCGCCCACGAGCTTTACAACATCAGATAGGGGAGATAGGCTATGATGGAAATAGCAAAAATGTCAAGGATCTTGTGGATGGTGTAATTCACAACGTCCAAGCTGTCTCACGGGCCCGGTCCAGGTCCTCCTCAGCCCATACACCTATCGCTGACCATCATCATAGCCGGCAAGAGACGAGCGATGATACCCCAAATAGTCATTTATGTGGCCCTGATAGGTTCAAGTCGGAAAATAAGGTATTAGTTGCACCAGCCGGTGTATCCTCTGCGCCCCTGGGCATGACTCAACTGCCAGCTCATCAACATCAAAGCAGGGATGGGTGGACTCTGAACACAGCCTTTAAACCTTCGGCTCGTCTATACTTGCTCTCGAAAGAAGATATGCTCTCGTCGCACACCCAACTCGGAGCTGCACATCCGTTGTCAAAACCTTCGACTGGAAAAGAGGGCCGTCACGACAATGCCTCGAAAATCTCAGCCCAAAGAAGAAGTTTCAACCTAGAAGGGAATGCATTCTATGGCATCTCTATGTCGAGTAATGCCACTCATTCCTGGATAGAGGTTGATGGTGCAGAGGACGCTAGTCAGAATGCCAGCTTTTGTAGCACTGTATCCACATCTTATTCTGGCAGTGTGGTTGGCGTGGATGTTGATCTTCAACATGAGTTTCCTCAGAAGATATGCCACTCATCTTCATCTACGCATGTAGCGCCGGTATGGTTCACCCCCCAGGTGGCAGAGCAGGAGCGACATGCTTCACTTTCTAGATCTCCTGAAGCCAAACAGTCGCCGGAAACAGAACGAACACGTCGGTCCATTACCTCATCTGCTCTGACGACTCTGCTCCCAATAGCAGCAGCCTCGGGAATTGTTCGCCGAAACTACGAGACACCGAAGATATCATTCTTTTCGCCATCCGGACACCTGATCCAGCCAGAAGGTAGTTCATCACCCGGCACACCAAGTGCTTCCGACTTCAGCGGCTCGCCCACGGTCAGTGCATTTACAAGCATAAATCCTACCCCTGCCTCCTATAGTGTATTTCCAGCAACATGTCTACCTCCCCCACGACCTTCTCTCAGACCAATGACGACTCCACCCACATCTTCGGTACCGCTCCCTGCCAACTTGCGACACCACCACAACTACAGACGTCCTGAAAAGTCGCAGATCAATCCTGAAATAGAATATAGGCATTCATTCAACAATGCTGGTCTGGCGGTCAAAGGATGCGACGGCATTGTACGGACCGGGACGCTCCCTGTCAACACTCAGACGCACCAATCGTACGGAATGACAAAGCCACGCCATGAATACAGAAGAGACAGGTCGGTCAGGTTGTTCAAAGACGATGCCAGACTGAAAGCGAGGTCTCGTAGAGCCCGATTGATGACAGTAATGAGCACGACGACCGCGAAAGGAAGAAATCTCGGTAAGCAAGACGAAGTAACCATATACGCTAGCATGCCTCACAAACGGAAACGTATATCCGTCGCTACTTCTGACAGGAAGCGCCTACCCAGCCGACACGTAAGACGAGAAGGCAAGACAGGACTCGTCGGACCGGTAGCCGGACATGTGTTGCGCATCTGCTTCTGTCAGCCATACGACGGCGCAAGCAAGCCGACGCATGATGTCGCCACGAAAACCTTTTGCATAAAAAGCCACGCTAGTGAGATGCACGGAAATTCAAAGAAGGAAACACTTCCTATAGCCGCAACGGAAACGCACATTGTAGACGCCGTTCTACCCAACGCTCGGGTCGTCACGGGCGTCAACCGGACGATCAATACCGACCACCGTATTGGCATGCGGACGAGCAGTCGCAGGAAATACGGCAATCTGACCATAAAATCCCATCTTCCGTGTCAGACTGCAGTGTGATAGCGCTACGAAAGGTCGTATACACATGTGTGTGTGCGTGTGCCGTATGGGTTGTGCGCGCGTGAGTGTGAGTGGAGGGTTCATCATGCGTCTCGGACACGAACGCCGCTCTGTCCATCCAGTAGCCATGGAAATTTCTGTCTCTTGTCAGCGTAATGCTTCTCGCTCCCCCCCCTCCTCTACCTTCTTTCCTTCTTTCCTTCCCTCCCTCACATTCCTTCGGTTCCAAGAGAACCAGGATCGGCACTTTTTCTCTCCACCCACACTCTAGTTTCTCTTTTTTTCTCCCTTCTGTTTCCTTAAATGACTGCAAAGTGTGTTTTGTTTGTATCGAAACATTACCACACATTACATACACATTACATATTCAAAGAAAGCAAATGAAAAAAAAATAATCAAACCAATCTTAGGCCTCCCTCTCGCAACGCAATATTTCTCCCTCTTTGTTTTGTTTGTTTTTGTCGGCTGGCGGCTGACTGGGCTGGATGAATGGGATGGATGGCTTGCCTACATCCACATCCACATCCACACCACATGCTCCCGTGCATAAGAGGACGTTTTCTGACATTTCCACAAAACGGGCAGTCCGGCAGGGCTTTTTTACCCTTCTTGCTTTTGCTTTTGCGCTGCTGAAATAGGCAAACTTGGCGCCGGGATCGTCCCTCTCCCTTTGCCTGCGCGGCTGTTGTTGTTGATGTCGTCGTCGTCGTCGGTGGGAAAGGAAAAGCAATGATTGGTTATATCTATTCCGTATCTCTGGGTGTGTGGGTACATGTGTGTGTGTGTGTACGGTAGGTGTACACCTGCATGTGCAGGTGATTGTGGAGGGGTGGCTGGATGCGTTGCGCTACCCATTTCTCGCCTACATCTACGTGTGTGGTGCAAAGAGAGAGAGAAAAAAAAAACCCCTGTATTCAGGGCTCTAGGATGGGATTCGTGAGGGTGTGGCTGTAGTATGTGTGCTCGTCTGGATTGGACTGGGCTGGACTGGACTGCGCAAGGCACACACTAAAACAGCATAGCGATGTTCATGAAGGATTCAAAGTAGTGGTGTCTGGGAAGATCATTGCATGGATTTACACACTTTTTTTTCTTCTTCGACTCGACTTTCCTTTGCGCGTTATTTGGTCACTCTTTTTCTGAATGCGGGAACTAACATGCTTGCGGCAATCATGCCTCGGCTTGTGCGACGTGTGACTGTTTGGGAATGAACATATGGGAGGGGAAAGATGGAGGTCTTGGGGGTTTGCTTTTTTAGGCTCTTTTGGGGTGATGTGCATCATGGGTTGTATGGGTGTGGGTGTCGCATTTGGTTGTGGCACCTTTGTGAAGGATATGATGCTTGTTCGGTATGATCCATGTATCGCCGACGTGGGGAGATGATGATGGGTATGGTGAGCGGCTGGGGTGTGTGTGAAAAGTCGGCAGAAGAAAAGTTGGCTGCCGAATTAGTAATGCAGGGCGCTCGGTTTTTTTCTTTGCTTTACTTTGTCCTTATCAGATTGACACGGGTGATCTTCTTCCTAGGATACGTATGAGTTGCTTTCATATGGGGAAAAGAGACTTAGGTGCATCATCGAGGACACTACTTAGTCACCAGCAAAAAGTGTAGTCGGAATGGGAAATAGAGGTTCTGGAAACGCTTGCGAAAGGTCTGGATTTGGTATGGAAACATGTCGGCATTCCGAAGTGATTCGGACGACGTGTGAATACGCATGTTAGTTCAATATACTTTGACGAATCGCCACAGCATATCTTCTAGCACACCGTTCAAAGAACGCACTGGATCCAACACAAGTTCATGATATACTGCACTCCCCAAAGCAACAAGGCACATCCAAAAAATAAAAGCGGCAACCCGGTTTGGTCACACGGCAGGCATAACCAGCTCAACGGTTTGCCGCATCGACGATTGCAGCTTTTGTTTTGAACCTGAGCAAGACGCGCATAACAGCGGCGAGCCGGCCGTATAATTCCGAAACGGCAATAAAAACGAATGCTAGGCTTGTAAAACCAGTTGTTACAAAACAGCAAATAAAGGCGTTCCGTTCATACGGTAGGTGGCCTAACCCCGGCAGTGTGTGCATGGGACGGTATGCACATCATAAAATCGGGGTGCCGAGTGTGACGGGTTGAAACTTGCTTCTTGTTTTCCTTGGAAGGTAGTTGAGGGCGAAGGGGGGAAGTATTACGCGCGTTACGGGGCGTATCTTTTTCTTTTTATGCTCCCCCACAGTTTGCGGGCAAAGCAATGAATTGCCAGTAAGCGTATGGCGTGGCACGTACCAGCATGCAGTCTATGCTCGGGAGTTATGAGGTCGGGTAAAGAGAGAGACTGCGGCTGGAATGAGGAAAAGTGTTGCCATAAAGTGGTGCGATGAAGTGGTGGCATTCTCGACAAAGTGCCCAATCGTCCGTCTAGAACATTAATGGCCAGCTGAAATGTGTATCTCACTGCACAGTGGCAACCAAAGGAGGGCGTACCGGACCTGGAGACTAATAACCAAAAGATTATAGCGTCAGAATGTATGTGTGTGTGGATTGGTGGGAGAAAAAAAAGGGTTCTTGATTGTATACAATTGTTTTTTGCCGACCCGAATCCTGCGCATCCACCAGCAGCGGGATCCCCGAGCAGGAGATGCTAAAATATGCAGCTCTGTGCACTTGCACGGCTACACTTGCCCGGCTGCACTTACCGGAATTCGTACGCCCATTGTAAACGACTCGCAAAAGTCGCCTCCGGGTGTTGTGCTGACCCCTGCCTGCTCATCATGTCCAATGGCCATGGTCTCTTGTCGATCAATCCCCACCGCCTCACTCGCGCATTATCGACCCGAGGGCCTGGTAACGCAGCTGCAGGACAAAATCCCATTCCGGATAAAATGATATGGGAATCCTTTATAAGGTTGCCTATTTCCTATTTCGAACGTATGCGCATGTTGTGATGAGCGTGTGGAGAAGAAAAAGCAAATACCGTATATGATGCTGACTTGTGGGCTTTGCTGCGCCCTGCATGCCAGGGTAGGCGAAGAGGCTGTCGATCAATCTCCTCGGTACCGTGAAGGGGTGTGATATTTGAAATATGGGCGAATCAGTGGAGCATGCCGCGGAGTGGCGATCAGCTCAAGTGTCATGTGTGGCTTAGTATGGATTGCTTGACTTGTCGGCCCAGAGGTCTTTCCAAAACTGCTTGAAGCCATACTGTTTTTCTCGACGCTCATCTCGCACGCGGACGGGGCCGCCAATGATGTTATCGAGAACACTCCTCTGACCAGAAGTGTACCCAGTGTCTGTCTTCTTCGGCGGTCTCCGCGTCCGTTCGATGATGGCTGCAGGAAGCTGAGGCGCAACGTCGGCAAAGCACGAGTTCAGCTCGCGTTGGAGGTTGAAGTAGGGTCTTTTGGCTAGCTCGGGTGCCTGCAGGTTGTAACTACGCGCTTTATCGTTGAGATCCTTGATTGCTACAGCTAGATAGCTGCCTTCAATGCGCTCCCAATCTGGATCGCGGAAAGGATGCGACGCTGGAGGTACTGTTGCTTCTGGAGTTTGAAGTGGCACTTCCATTGTTTCCTTTGAAATATCTTCCACGGAAACAACAGAAGGATTCTGGGCTACAGCTTCTGGAGAAGCGTCAAGGGTGACCCTCTCAGCTACTACCTTTTCCACAATGACTGGTTCAGAACTGGGATCTTCGGTTGGTGGAGATACTTTAAGTTCTCCTGATAACGAAATTTGAGACATGTGGCCATCATCATTGGTGGTGGTAAAGGCTTCCTGCTTCCTCCTGAGTGGATTCGAAACGAGCTCAGCTTTGGCATATGCCTCAGCTCTCCTCACTTGCTCCACTAGCGAGCCACCTTTACTGGCTATCATACGTGCCGCATGTCGCTTCCAGTCTGCGCGTAAGCGAGTTCTGAATTTCCTTGTCGCTGACGTAAGTTCCTGCTGTTTCTCAATCCATGGGGGCACTATTTCCTGTCTTTGGATAATCTTGTTCATGAAGTACTCGGTTGTGTCGATGAAGGGACTGGATGCATTGTAATCCCGTTCGACATTGGCATTTTTGCCTCGAGGAATGTTCTTGAACTGTCCGCGGGCGATTGCATCCTCAATTCTTTTATTCGCAAGCGAAGCAAGGCCTTGTATCGTTCCAGGGACAATGGCACGTGCACCAGGTTCAAATCGATCCTTGAGTTCTTGAAGCCGCTTCTCACGATCTGCAGCGTCGATGTCTCCGTTTTCCACCAATGTGGTATACACCAAACTCCTGTCGCGAGCATTCGCCAGCCGCAACCCACTGCCTCCCTTGCCGCGCTTATGACCGGTGTCAATCGATTGTGGTGGTTGTACGCCAGGTATCTTTGGTGGGCGGCCCAGTCGCATGGGCTTGTGGGCATCATTCAGCATGCGCAAGCTGGCGTCATGGATAGATTCAGTGCCACTCCATGCATCGGCAGTGGCAAGGTCGCGCGTGTGGCGAGAGGCAGAGGCGGGAATATCTGCCTCAGAGGATCTCAGGTTGGCGGCAGCAATGCGTTGCTCCAGCTGTGCTTTGAGATCCGGACTGAACCCCGCTTCTTCAACAGCTTTGATTGCGCCATGTCCACCAGACACCAAAGCTTCTTCGCTCATGTCTCGCAGTCGCCGGGTCAGAGCCCCCTCTTCCTTCTCTTCTCCAGTCCTCCCAATTGAATTCATCTCTCTAGGATCCTCAAGGCCATTGCCGCCATCGTTGGGCTCCTTGTCCTGGGTTGCCGTCTGCCCATACCACCTCACATTGCCGCCCGCGACGGCTCGAACTGGGGCGAAGACACGTCGTCTTCGTTTTGTGCGCAGGTAGCCTGCACAGATATATCGTCTGGACAGCTTGGATACGGGCATACAGGGAACTTGGTCAATGTACCGTAGTGGCGAAGAAATGGATCGGAATGTAAAGTTACTCTAAGCAATGCATCTCTCACGTCATGAACATAAGTTCAAAGATTAGCGCGTCGTCGTTATCGATAGTGAATTTCTGCCGAGGCTCCTCCGCGGGCAATTGAGCCTCGCACTTATTTATGCCTAACACACTAGTTTACATTTAAGCTCTCTATCGGCTGCTTTTTACTTGCTGCTAATGTAAACTTATCAAGAAATGACGTGGGTCCACGCTACATCAAACCATGAACAGGAGTATCAGACCTCACTTCTATCAACCCTCGACTTCTAGCTATGCAACTGTTCAAGGTGATCATGATAATCGGAAGAGGCTCACATATACACTAACCTTTGTGGTATGAAGATGGTCTATTGATTGGATCTTGATGAAACCATGTGTCAGATTCAGGCAGTAAAGGGGTTTTCGAAGTCTGCATTGTGAACTCCTCGAAAACGGCTCTCCGTTGCTTCGAATGCGCCTACAAAATATCATCACCAATGGATTTATCACGTTGCACTTGGGGCCTTGGAGCAGTCTTTGTGTTGATTGGACGACCAGTATCAATGTCCCGATACGAGCAATGCGAGCAGCTCAGCCTCCACAACAAAGCTTGGCGCAATTAATCATAAGATATCAAAGCAACACGAATATCAAAGCATATACCAAGTTTCCTGTTCGCTTGAACTGGCACAAAACACTGCGTAATGAGATATCCGCTGCTTCGACATAAATCACATGAAAACATGGAAAAGCAGAAACATACCACTGTGATATCCGAGAGCAAGCACGAAGACCCAAAGGTACATAAACATCAGTAAATCTGTTTCTGTTATTTAGATTTCTGACATATCATAGAAAACTATGACGGACATCACACCCGTATCCCCACATAATGAGATTGAAGTGAATCGTGTTCGTACAGAGACGACTCTGCAGTATGAAAATGCCATCAACCCACGATCAGCTTTCCATGTATACCCTGAGGGCGAACATCATAAATTTATCTCGCCAGTAATAGACCCGGGAAGAGAGAGATGGTGTGGCCCTAGTCAAAAAGAACAAAAAGTGAAGCGTTTGCAGAAACAGGAGCGCAAAAAATCCGGATTGCCCCCTGTAGAGCCAGATGACACTGCGTTCTTTTTGCATCAACCATACCTATCCTTCCATGCACCACCCAGAGTCCTGTACACGGGCAGCAGCAAGTACACGGCGAATCCTGTTGTTCTGATACACGACGGTTGTTTCTGGAGAGATTACAAGTTACAATTAGGACAGTCAATCAGCCAACCAGGTGTGATTGACCCGCGCGGCGTAGTCTCGTGGCGCCATAATGGAGGCGACAAGAAGGCACTAAAGGACGACGAGCACAAGCTCAAGGGCTACAAAGTCAGAGGATGGAGGCTTTGGGGAGAAACGGGAAAGAAATATGTGCACACTGTCAGAGCGAACCGAAAGGCAGGTAAAGGTACAGATCCCGATGTGTTGGAAGTCAAGGGCCTCGAATCTGAAAAACCCGCGGTAGCCGAAGAGGTCATTCACTTGCGATGGATAAGCCCGTTGTCTCGCCATACTCGATGCTATCACTTCCACTACCTGGGCATTGACTTTTACTGGAAAGGAACGGCTTCGGTTAGGGAATCACGGGCTTGTGGCCTGTTCTTGCGCTTCAATCACTTGAAGCTCGTTGCCAGGCTCCCAATCGTTAACGGTAAGAGATACGGACAGGATGAGCTGTGTTTGGGAAAATATACGTGCTCCATTGCAGCCAGGAAGAGTGGCACTTTGGAGTTTTTCGACGAAACAATTTTGCGTTTGGTCGATGCACACGCCCCCTCAATGCTCGACTCGAGTTCTGACGAGGGGCAGTTGGAGGAGAATATGAGAAATGAGAGAGTATTGAAGCTGAGGAAAAGTACTCTATACCAAGTATTTATGGCCACAGCGACGTGCATGATCCGGAATGAAAAGGAGAAGAGGCACACACTGTTAGAGCTGTTGATAGTTGCAGCAGAAGGTGGAGGTTAGGGTGGAGGATGGGGTGATATAAATTGTATGGTCATATCACTATGTTATCAATGCTTTTCTCGGTACGATAATACCAGTACTTTCCACGGGGACATGGTTGATCTCGTGAGGAATTGCTTCAGCGCGATGACGTTGTTCCCGCTGCATGCTAATTGTCTGTGCTTCCCCAAACATGTATAGCAGCAATCATCCCACAACTGTCAAAATCGCATCACCATGTCACAACTTGCCATTTCGCGCGTAGTTCTACGGTTCAGCTTACATGGCGCCCCTCGCACATCACTGAGGCTCATTGAGGCGCCAGGCCGCATTCTGTAAGCTCCAATGTTGCTTGGCGCAAACATGAAAGGTCCGCTCCGCTCACACCACCCAGGCCTGCTCTCCGCTTCACAACACCACAATGCTCTTCGCACGCCGTCCGCGGGTTCTCCTCAAACCCACAGCTGCAGAAAAAGGCGGGTAAAGCGAATAGGTCACACGCCCGAACCGACTCGAACCCACCGGTGAACAAAGGTGTTCCTCCAACCCCCACCGATGAAGCCTACGACGTCTCTGGGCTGGAGTCGCAGATACTCAAAGCAATCGAGAAGCTCACGCATGAGCTGAGTCAGCTGCGCAGCGGAGGAAAGCTCAATCCGGATATCGTAGAGAGCTTGAAGGTGCAGTTGGGCACGGCTGGACATGGCAAAGAGACTGTGAGGCTGGGAGATATTGCCCAAGTCGTTCCAAGAGGAAGAGTACTAAATGTCATCTGCGGAGAGGAAGGGGTATGTTCCGACTGCATCCGTGGTATTGAACCGCAGCATGTCCAGGCTAACATTTACCAGCACATCAAGCCCATAACCACCGCCATTGCCGCTTCGCCGCACTCTCTTACACCCCTCGCCCCGGAACCCTCCAACCCTCTGACCATACAGGTCCCTCTGCCGCCGCCGACTGGAGAATCACGTCGTGCAGCGGTCGAGTCGGCTGTCAAGGCTGCCGAGCGTGCCGATAAGCTCATACAGCAGGCCCGACAGGAACACAACAAGAAGCTCCGAAAGTACAGTGTTAACCGCGAAGTGCTCCCGGATGATCTCCAAAAGGCCAAGAATTTAATGGAAGAGGTGGTTAAGAAGGGCCATGTTGAGGTTAAGCGCATCAGTGACGGTGCCAAGAGGGTCCTTGAAAGCCAATAGGGGCACACAGGCTGTACATACTGTATACACATCCGATGCTCCGAATTCTGACATGATGTATTGGAATGTCTAGAGGTTGCCCTTTGCGTTACCCGGTTCAATTTTTGACCAAACGGCTTGAATGTTTATCACGCGCCATGGCTTACCTCATAGCCGGACGCGGCATGGGGCCTTCACCTCGTTTACCTATATTGTTGCGTCAAGAATACGCTTACACCGATGACGTTTCTCCCAAGATAGTGACTACCCGCGAAGTGTTCTTGTAAAATCGTCTGGCCATGGAAATCAGGTTAGCAAATGAGGCTTGAAAGAAAATTCGCCAGCATACATATTAATGAGTCAAAAGAGGACTTTCGGCTGTCGTGTCAAACTATTTCCGGCCGTCTCTACGTACCACGCCTCAGCCACGACTGACATCACACCGGATCGACAACGCATCGCATACGCCGCACCTCATTTGCTGGCATGCGCATGCAGCGGGTAAGCTGGACGGAAACGGCGTTTCTGCAATAATTTGGTCAGATCTTACAAGAAAGCTTGCCCATTGCAATGGCAAAAGTATCGCATGCGTCCACTCAGATGCACGCTGCAGTCAGCACTCTCGACAGCCTCGCTCTGTCCGTTGCCAGACCGCTTTTCGACCGCCACACTACAGCCTGGCCTATTGTTGAGTGTGGCATTTACTCCAGCATGTCCCCACATTGCAGCACATTCACCGTATGCGAAGAAAATCGATCCCCGGGTTACTTTACCCATCAGCTGTTAATTCACTCTTTTGTGCGCTCCTCACCCGAGAACGTCAGCATTGCGACGCTGGAAAGCAATCGCGTAGTACCCGCACCACCGTACATGGCTCTAGTGCTGGGCACAGCTCATTAATATTCAACGGTGATTTCAATCATGGCGCCGCTCAGCAACATCAATGGCGAATTTTTGGCTATGAGCAAGCGGCGGCCCGAGCCAGCTACAACCCGCACTTCACCACCCACGCGAGCCAGCATGACTCTTGAAGGAGGATTCCTAGAAGCATGGGCACAGGGATATAACGTAGGCAGCTTCATAATTCTGATGTTAATTGTCCTCTGCAACTACCGATCGGGAATCTTGCTCCATAAACTCATACTACTCGAGGTGAGACCAAACCCTGCCTATAGCCCGAAGCACGTTCTGATATCCAAAGCTCCTCCTCGCAATCTGGCACGGAACTTTTATCTTCGTCGAGGACCCGTACTACGGGTGGTACTTATCATCCACCGCCACGCTCCTCTTCATCTCCTACTTCCTGCACAATGTCGTCGCCTGGCTCAAAATCCGGCCCTTCCTCCCCCTCTGGGGCTCTCGCTTCTTCATCATCTCGCTCCTCTGCGTGCAGCCCTTCTGGGTCGTCGAAGCTTGGTCCAACTTCGCCTACTTTAACCAACTCGCCACAGGCTCCAGAGTCAATCTCCGCACGCGGCCATGGGAAGCACTAGTCCGCGACCCCTGGTGGATCTTTACAACCTGGAAACTTATCAACGCCATCAAAAAGACATATACATTCAGCCTGTGGACATTGATCAAGATCAACCGCCGCTTCAGCGTAATGCTAGCCTGCATGATTCTCTCCATCAGCTTCGTCATCATCGATGCTGCCATCAGCGCAGCAAAACTATCAGCCAGCAGCGGAATAAATCCCTACTGGCGCTTTGCCCTCGTTTTCAAATGTGCCTCGGACACCATTTTCCTGGACGACTTCAAATCCATGCTCGACGACATCATCGCACAAAAATTTACTTCCGCAGCAGATACCACTGGGCCGGGCCGCTCCATGTCGCGAACCGGTGGTGCCGCAAACAAGCGCTCGCGGTCCATGTCGCGGGAGGAGGCAATGGAATCAAATATGCTGGAGGGCTTGCGTACGCCGTCGGTTAGTACTACGCAGAATAGCCAGTCGAGATCTTCAAGACCGGGATTCGGATCGTATTTTTCGTCAAAGTCAAAACGAATGGAGAGGGAGACGTCGTCGAACCGAATGGAGAGAGAGATGTCGTCGAGCCAAAAGGCGAGAGAGACGCCGTCGATTCATTTGTATCCGCCGGAAGCGAGTGAGGCTTCGTATTCGAGACATCCCAGTTACGAGAGCCAAGGCCATGTGGAGTTGACGCGACCGGTGCATGCGCTGTATCGGAATCATGAACTTAGGGCTACGGAGAGTGATGGGAGTTTGCTTATTGGAAGATTGGTTTGAGGGTGAGAAGAGTAGGAGCGGAATGGTGGGGGTGTGGGTTGGGGTTGAAGGGGAGGATTGCACGAAATACGCCTGCTGGCAGGCTATGATAATGAATTCTTGGGATACGGGAGTTTGAAAAGGTGAACTATAGGGTTGTGTATGTGTATAATCAGGAAGGGGAATATGAAAAAGGGGATTGTACGGCTGGTGCTATGCATTATACCCCACGGCGCTTATTGGATCTGTTGTATGGATAAAAGGACTGGGTACGAAAGATCGCGTAATCTTTGTTAGTTTTTAGTCACTCATATTTAGTTTATTCGACGTTTTTTACACAGACGCCTTACTTGATCAGTGGTCTTGAGCGTAAATGCAGATGTGCAGAAGAACATTGATGCGCGAAAGTGGTTGGGAATTGGAAGAAACTAGGTACGGAAAGGTCTATGTTTACACTATCTAAGAGAAAACTAAGATTCGTTAAGTCATGTCGTTTCATATCCACCCATGAGGCACACCCACCACAGGCCTTGGAACCTGCGCCGACGGACTAGGATAGCTCGCACCAGACACTCTCCACCCCCTCCCCGGCATCAACCTAATCCTGACCTTTCTACACCTCTCGTTCATCCCACCTCACGTAGAGGGCGGGCTCAGTTCCCTCTAAGCCTCCTTCGGCAAACTGTACATCAGCGTCGGCATAGCTGATGTCTTCCATATCCCCGTTTGCGTATCCCTCGCCGTTTCTATCATGGTCACGACCAAGAAGACGAGTGTGAGGGTACAAGCCACGGGCTATATGAGAGGTCGCGTTGTGAGGGGCCGAATTCGAAGTCTTTATATCGGAGCCTGGGGATTGTGGAGATGTTGTCGATGCTGTAAGAGGATGGGAAGAAGTCGCCAAAAATGGTCATAAAGTTCTGTGCTGTGAAATTGCTGCTGCCGTATTCGATCGAGCGGTTAGTGTGAGTTGGATCGATTACCGGTGGTGTAATGGTGATGTTTTGTATTCGACCCAGGTTCCGCCGCCTTGATCTTCTGGATTTTTCAGGATATCCATGGATTTGGCCTATTGGTCTTGTTAACGAAGGATGACAGGATCTTTTCATGGTATTGGCCTGGATCACATGCTGATTTGGTGGCCTTGAGGGACCATGAGAGTAAACATTCATACCCTAATCATGTCCCGTTTGATAGATGCTTTTTCGGATATCCGTTGAACAGGCAATTCATACATCGAGAACAGGGTTGCACATGCTTTTAGAGACTACTAAACAGATACCATAGTTGCGAATTTTGGTTAAGAAGGTTGTAAGGGGAAAGCTCCTGATGAGCAAGGCTTCGTCATTTTTACTGTTTGCTATATCGTCTCCAGTCGCTCAGCTGGAGAGAAGTATATGATTTTACAATGTGGTATTTAAGATTGTCATCACACCTGCCCTTTCGGATAGAAATCTTCACCAAGCAGGCCTTCCCTCGGTGCTCCAATTCATCGTAGTATTGAGCCAAGCAAAGGTGGTGTCGAGTAGATCGCAAACTTCTTCGCAGGAGCCGCAAATAACAAAGATCACGTATTTCAGTCAATTACAGCTGCTTTCGGGTCATAAAGTTGAAATATCTGGACGGCTTCCGTTCCCAATGGGACTGCTTTTGTTCCATTTCTGCTAAGGTAGTCTTGAATAATCGGCATCAACTCCGGGTGCCTCGTCCGGCATCCAGTTTTCCGGAAGTGCGACTACTTGTTGGAAGAAAGCGTCAACCACAAGAAGTATCAGATTGGAACAACTCCTAATGCGACCAAAAAGCGGCCTTTAGTGCCCTACAGGAGCAACGCAGCGTCACACGCACCCGCGATGCTTTGCCAAAAATCTCAAAGTCACACATGACTTGCGAGTTATCGAGCTGGTATCATTTCAATTGGCCTAGTGCTTCTAAGGTAGGAACTATGAGGGTAGCCGAGGCGATCTCTCCAAGTCTCCTCGCTACTATAAGAAGCATCTTCGTTTGGGCAATGGCGGTTTGGTGTATCCGAATACAGACCCCAATTATGCCGCCCAGGCAGAACACACTGAAAAGTCATCTTGGTGCATTGAAAATCTATTGCAAAAGGTCACTTAGTGACGTATTAAATAATGTGCGGTTCTTTTTCGGTCGTTGTTCAAGGTGGAGCGAGGTGTTTTCTTTCGTTGCTGAAGTGGAGGACTTCGGTGTATCCCGTCCATGGTTCATTCGGCTTAGGAGGAGGCTGTCTGTAGGTCAGTATTGCGAAACAGATGGCGCAGTGCTTTCTGCGAGGTTAGAGTGCGCTTTCGTAGGAATAGTGCATACGGGAAAGCATACTTATCGAGATGCGCAATTGTGGCTGGTGGCCTGGCGACCGTCGATTGGTGTCGCCCGCAGATAGTCTACCTTTTTGCTCATTCCTACTTCAGAGATTGCTTTTCGGCTACTATCTCCTTCGATTCTAGTTCGCCCTTTGGTCTTTTGATTACGATGTCTTGTCTCGCTACTGGATGGCGTCCATGTTAAGGAACGGGCGGCAACATTCTTAGACTTGGGGATATCTCAGCGCTGGACATAATGACAATGAGCCAAGGCAGATCACACCGATTGACACTGGATCTTGGTTACGTTGAGGGAGATGAGTCTTGTCATCTTTTGTTGCGGGGGTGAGCGGGCGGTTTGTTATCGTGTGCATATCGTAACTTCGTTGCTGATGCTACGGCATGATTACGCATTATGCTGATCACATGCTCCTCACTTCAGGCAAGGGTAGATATGCCTGGCCGTGTATCTTGGTCAGCTTTTTTCTTGTGTGATGCGGGATAAGGCAAGATTTTAGATGAAAGGATCTACTCACGATGAAGCTTCGGTATGAACATGACTAAGAATGGGCACCAGCCCTGCTTTCTCCTGTGTCTTGGATTTTGATGTCACTTCCCGGCTTCTAGTGATCTCAGTTCTTGTATTTGCAACATATCTTTGTATAATTAGAGGATGTGACCATTAATCATTACTTCGTAAATCGTCTATCATGAAATATATACATTAAAAGAAACCAGGTGGAGGCGGTGGCCTCGCAATTATTTGACCAGAAACCCTCCAGCCTTGTTTCGGCAGAAGCCTGATCCGAACCTTACTCGCGCGTTTACCTCTCATCACTCTCGGGCGAGTTGTCGATACAACTCCTTCCTGTATATCCTTCGGCAAGCTGTACATCAGCGCCGGCATAGCTGAAGTCTTCCATGTGCCGAGATCTTCGTAACTATCACTTGAAGTTTTCCTGATTGTTGAGACTAGAAAAACAATGCTGAGGATGAGCATTGCTAATGGGAACGCGAGCCAGCCCCATTGGACTGCGACATATGTTTCTCGTGCGTAAGCGGAACCAGGAATAAGTTCGCTGCTATCCGTATCAGATCTGATCACGTTTGTGATAGAGTGAGCCATTCGTTCCAGGTGAGCAGCAACATTGTTCGGCGCAAGCCAAGGACTGAATAGAAAGCTACGCCATTTAGCTTTGTCCGTGTGGCTAGCAAATATCTTGATAAATGGCTGCGCTGTTGGATTGGCCATTGTAATCATGGATGGAAAAATCTCGTCGAGGATAAAGGTGATATCGAAGAAAGTCTCGTTGGAAACCCCAAAGGCCGGCATGAATTCTGGTAGTGACGGAGGGCGTATGCTGATATTTGGATAGAAGCTTTGTTCCGTTACCTCTGAGTTGGGAATATGTTCGATTGACCATGGAAAATCTGCCTTGGTATTATTTATGAACACTTCCTGTACCTCTTCTTTGTAATCTCCGTCATGGTATGACGAGCGGAGGGTTTTGACACACCACGTCAGCATACACTCTTGAGCAACAGGTCGCTCTTTCTTGTAGACACTTTCCGCAGTGCCGTCTGCTGAGCTCACTATCAACGCATCGAGTAAACGATACTGGATATGTTCGAAATTGATAGTTGCGCTGCCATAGAGAGGCTCCCTGAACAGAGTGGTGACCAATGGCAAGGAACGCATAAGAAGCGTTTCACCCGGTACAGGGTCGGTAAAGTTGGAAACTCGGAAGCCTGACATAAGAACCGGCTCATCGCTGGTTGCATTTATAAAGTAGCCGCAAGCAGCGCCTATAGAACAGTTAGCGACCAGTCGAAGGTCGACTGTGAGACACCCTTATGTTTGTGTTGTCCTGATAGATAGGGATGGTCTATTGAATCGTTTGATAGAAACAAAGGCCTAAAAAACCGGTACACGTACCTTTAGGCGCAGTATAGTTCAAATCACGGCCAAGTGCCTCCCTGATCCAGTCCATTCTTGTCATCAGACAACCGTATTCAAGGAGGTGTGAGATATCTTCACAAGCGCTGCAAACCGCCAAGGTATCGTAAGGTGGCCATTCGCACCTACCGGTAGGGCATAAAAGCGGTATCTCAGCTTGTGTAGCATTTCCCGTTATAAGCGGACGGGTGCCGTTCTGATCGTAGAAAAACGGGACCATTCCCCTTCTCAATTCGTTGTTCGTTACCGCCATTGGTACGCCGATGCTGGCCTCGTATTGATTTTGAACAGTGGGTTCGTAACGAACAATGCTTGGGATAAAACTTTCGCCCTCGAGTTTCCATCGCTCTGGCAAATTAGTCACTTGCTGAAAAAAGGTGTCAATTGCCAATAGAAGGATTGTCAAAAGAGCACCTAACGCAGCAAGAGACCTGCCCCTTGTACGGCACAAGAGCATGACTGAGCCCCATGCACCGCGTGATGCTTTGTCGAAGATCTCAAAATCAAATGCATCTCTGGACTTTTTTCCGTGGAACCAAGTCCACTTCAGCTGTCCGATCGCTTCTGATATCGGTAAAATGAGTGCTGCCGATGCGACCTTTGAAAGAACCGTAATGACGGTCAGGGCAGGAGCCCAAGTGTTGAGAGATTTGTTGTTCACGCGGTATAGTAACCCAATGATTGCGCCTGTTGAAACACTTAGTGGTTTGTACACAGAGAAGTAAGTGGGTCGTCGTGTCGTACCCATACAGGCTGCGCTTATTGTGACGCTGATGATTTCGAATAACCAACGCTTCCAAGTGCTTTCAGATGCATTGTATTGTGCAAGCTTTTGCTCGAGGCGGCCTGGAAAATCGAACCGACGCTTTTCATCTCTAGTAGCTTGATATGTTTTAGGCGGTGGTCTGGGTGCACTTTCGCCCGTTGGCATATATGGAAACTGAGATTCATCGGAAGTAAATGGTAAAATATTCTCTTGTACTCTTGCCATCGTATGAACGACTGCTGATCAAACTTTGAGAAGACATGATCCATGACCGAAGGTGATGTTTTGAATGAGGTGATGAGGCTCATCATTGGTAGCCAACAGCCATAGCTTGCGGACCTTCTTGCAAGAATAAAGATAGCAAGGACCAGGCGCTTATCGGCTACTGGCAAGCGAGCGGCACGTTATCTACTAGCAAAGATGATCAGGCTGTAGATTTGCGCTTCGGAAAACAGCCAAGGGCAATATGTGTGAATCAAGAACAGACAACCCAGTCTTTTGGATATATAGGTGTACTTGGCTTTAGAACTAGACCTGTAGCATTGAGGTCTTTAGCGCTGTAACCTGACAACACATGGAGCGTTGGGCGGCTTCGGGAGGAAGGGTGGTAGTCACACCAATCACGCTGCAGAAATTCGTGGTAGCGCCGTGGCGCAATGTGTCCGTAGAATCACCGATTCGCGTGGGCCAATCCAGGCTGGGCTCCATGAACAAATAAGCGCTGGATGGTAATAACTGGTGTGCATACGTTGTTGAGCATAAGCGCTGGAAGTAGTACAACTAGGAGGTATGGTCACCAGGCACAACGCAAGGCGATTTTTTTCCCTTGGCAATACATGACGAGCGTACGGAGCTTTGACGGAAGTGTTTTCCTGCCCAGCCTGGTGGATAGGACTGGCCTGGGGAGCATGCCAAGCGGAGAACTATCATCCAACTCGCTATGAAATTCATATATTGACGAGAATGAGGCGGCCTAAAAAGTGGTAGTGCTTGGTATCGGGTCCATCTTGGTTCTTTAGAAGAGTTCCGAATGTGAGGATTAAGTAGGGTTTTACTGCGATCGACCAAAGATTTCTTTCGGGCGTTAAAAAAGTACAGCGAAAGCTGAGCAAATTCACAATGGAAGCACCTTTTTCAGAATTTATTTGGATGAAAGTGACCATTTTTGATATGAACCTACATAGGCTGAGGGAGAAAATATTGACAGGGATCGCCATGGACAAAGAAGGTTATTGCCGAACAAAGGGATACGCCAGAGAGTACCAAACTCCGAGTGGCAGGTGGCGCATTTCAGCATTCTTATTGATATTTTCGCAAGTGTATGCAGAATGATGAATTGTAGTCCTGTGTATGAGGTGGCTCCCAAAAACGTAGTCACCATGTAAAATCGGGTCATCCAAGAGAGCTGCCGTGTGTGACCACACAAGACCCAGAAACTGGCCAAGTACAAGGACACCGATGAAAAACTTTTGTACGGGGACATGTGGAGATCCGAACCGAAGTGCGGCCAACATCACGTTGCATGGGCACTGTGATAGATTGCGCATGATATCCAGAAACTTGTGTAGACATGCGCTACATGGATGTAGTTAAGGTTATTGTGATTGACGCGAAGACAAAATGAAGCTGCATGAAAAAGTGTTTTGATAAGGTTTACATTCACACAATTGTCGCGCCCAAGCACCAGGGGGTATGTCTGTTAACGTCAGTGTTGAGATTGGGCGCTTAACCGGGATATGTGATTGGTGATACATCTACTCAATCTACCTCGGAACTGCCGACATACCTTGGCCTTGTCTTTACAACATCACAATCAACGCTGTATACTTACATGACCTAAGTCATGCTTTAGTAAACTGAACAATATAATCGAGATTTACTGATGTTTTACCATAAGATTGCTGGATATAGTACAATGTAATAATAGCATCATTAGAGAAATTTCCACTAATTGTAAATGTCAAGTAGGGGTATGAACGCCACCAATTTCGAGAACAACAGAACGCCATAGCAATATTATCACTAGAGTCTTTGCAAACAATGTGGATTGAATTTACAAACTTCTGCCACAGGTATAGAAGAAAACGTAGCGCTGATGCACATATGCACATCACGTGCGTAGAAGACCTGTGACTAGGTCGCTGGAACGGTTAATTGGCGTAAGGTACCGGCTGCGCAGAGCCAATCATTTCGTCTTTGGTCAAAGTGCAAAACGCCGCCAAGCCACGTCACATCGCTAATATCTATTGATTGGTTAGAGGTTGTTCTGTGATGGCAAGAAATCAGAGGCAAATGATTTAGACTTACAGATATCGCATGTTCAGAGGATTGCCTTGTAGTGAGCCCTTTCAGCGCTTCGAATGTGACAACTCAATGTGATGAAAAATGACAGCGATTTTTCGCTCATCCACATCGCATCACCAGGCATCCACAAAGTCTAGCCTAACGCCTTGTGTTCCAGTTGCATTGGCTTTCGGGTTTCACCTTGCCGAATTCGTGTACTAGAGATTATGCCCTCCCACCCCTCCTCCAATAATCGTGCAACATGCGCATGATGGAACCACAGTATGTGCTTGTTCCATGCGCGCCGCGTCGCGTCGGTGGCCTCAAAGGCGGTTATCGTTGAAAAGGCCGCTGCGGGTTGAAGCGCCGTGGATGGAAGGTGGAAATGGGCATGTAATGTGATGTCGGTCGAACCTCCTTGTCTTGCACCCAGAACTGTGGATAAATGCGTCGCCAGTTCCCACAACTGAAGGCCAACATTAGGGGAAGACAATCAAGACTCTACCACTCCTTTGTATTACATTCTTGCTTGGCTGTGCCAACGTCTTTCTCTTTCTAGGCCATCATCTACAAGCCTCAAATCTGGGAATATCCAACAGCGACAGAACTTAATTCTCGACTGCATCATGCACGTTCGCAACCTCTTCCTGTTCGGACCTCTGGCGATGCCCATCGTGGCCATGCCTACACCTGCTAGCAATGTACATTGCCCACCCCTGCCGGTGATTGATTACTCGTGCTGACCTTTCGTACAGGTTGTCCTACGTGATGACGTTGCGGTCGAACAACGAGGGCCTTTGATCGCTCGGCTTTATCGAGATCTTTTCAAGCGAGAGCCATTGGTCGAAGCCATCCCGAGCGAGTCCTCGTTGTATGAAGCAGTCGAAGTGGAGGCAAGGGACGAGAACGAAGACGAGGTTGAGTTGCTGGACGAAACGTTAGACAACACTTCTAGTGGAGATGCTCCTGTTAGTCTGGACGAAAGGGCATACAAGAAGAAGCCAGGCGGTTCAAGTAAGAGGTCATACAAGAAGAAGCCCGGTGGTGCAAGCAAGAGGTCGTACAAGAAGAAGCCCGGTGGTGCAAGTAAGAGGTCATACAAGAAGAAGCCTGGCGGTGCAAGCAAGTGATGCTCTCCAATCTCAGATCCGGATTTTGGGAAAGGAAATGTTTGACACCCGAAGAGTGCTCGTATAGGTCCTTCGGAGTTAAGGATAATACTCCAATTTAATGAGGGGGGGATCAGATCCACCCTGGCGGTGGTAGGTTCCTCGGGATGGTTGGAGTTACTGGGGTGAATACGTTGCCAGAAACTCTCCATCCTGTAGTTGGGGATAATTTTACTTTCAAATCTTTAGCCTTAGCTCTTGGAGTCATCTTGGGGTCGGGCTTCGCGAGGCGTTTTTGGTAGTGATCGGGAAGGCCATATAGTAGTGCCGCAATAGCAGAGTTTTTCCTAACGCCCACTTGGTCCGTCTCTGATGCAGATTTGACTACCGTTGCTAGCAAGAAAATAAAACTGACAAGCAGTAATCCGACCGGAAGAGATAGCCATGCCCAACGGACTGAAACATATACATCTCTTTCAAATGCCTCGCCATGGATCATTTCATTGCTCGACGAAGACCGAATAACATTGGTTATCGAATCCGTCATTCGTTTCATGTGACGCGTGATATTGTTGGGAGACAGCCACGGGTTGAAATCAGGTGCCCTAGTTCGAACATCCTCAAAAGATCCAGTCCTCCACCTCAGTAAAGGAGCACTTTTATCATCTGCCGCAGTCGTGAATGCAGGAAAAATGCGATCGAAAACCTCAACAGTGAAGATCATTGTTTCTGAGCTGACACCCCAGTCGTACTCGGTGGTATTCGAGTTGGTAGATGTTGTGGAAATGGTTACATTCTCAAGATAATCAATCCAATAACCACCGTCGCTTGGATCGAACGTACTATTCCATGCAGAACCTTCATTAGTGTTATTGTAGAAGGATGTCGCAACATTTTCATGATATATTCCCGATAAGTATGATGATTCGATGGATTTTACACACCATGACACAACACACTCGTGAAGTGCTGGGGTATGGTTCGAGTAGACCTCAGCCCGATCAACCGAACTGGAGATCAGAGCGTCTGCAATGGGATTCCGGATGTCCTTGAAGTTGATTGATCCACCCCAGAGTAACTGTCGTTCCGGGTTCGTCACAAGTGGCAGGGTGCGCGACAATAGAGTTTCCCCGACAGGCTCGCCTTTGTCGTCAACCATGTACCCAGACATCAGTACTGGTCGTTCAGATGTAGCGTTGAGGAAGTGGCCACACACAGTCGTGTTAGGATACGATGAAACATTCGCATTGAGCTCGGATGTCCAATCAACTTGCGTGAACATGCATGTAAACGTCAGGAGTTGTGATACATCGACGCATTGGCTACACATTCCAAGAGTTTCGTACGAGGGCCATGTACATTTACTCGTTGGACATGTCAGTGGAATTTCGGGGCGGCTACCGTTTCCATACGGTATTGATTGGGTGCCTTTACCAAGAAAAAATGTATCCGCAACCGCCATGATATCTTGGTCGGATTGAACGGACACTTCGCCGTTTATGAAATCCGCAGGATAGTGAGGTTCATATCGAATGACTCTTGGTATAGAGCTAGTTGCATTCTGCAACGTCCAACGCTCGGGAAAGCTAACGACTTGTTGGAAGAAAGGGTCCAGAGCAAGACAAAATATTGTTACAAGGGCTCCGAGGGCGGCAATAGTCTTCCCACGAGTGTGTATAAGGAGCAGAAATGCACCCCATGGACCTCTTGATGCATTGTCAAACATCTCAAAGTCCCACATCTTCTTCGAATCACCCTTGATGAACCAGCTCCACTTCAACTGGCCCAGGGCTTCCGCAACTGGTAGAAGAAGCGCGGCACCCGCGATTCGAGAGAGAATGGAAACAAAAGCGTTTAGAGTAAAGCCGATGTTATCAAATGGCCATTTATTCGCGGGTTGATCCCTGAGTACGATGAGGACGGCGATGATAGCTCCCATGCATATAGCACTGATGAGCCAGCTAATGATCTCCAGCATCCATCTTTCCACGACATTGCCAGATGAATTCCATCGCCACAGCTTTTCTTCGATACGTTGTGCGATATTCGTAGCTGGTTCAGACTTCTCGCTCTCAATGGGTGGAGGCTGGATGTATATATGAGGTGCATTGGGTGGGCCATTGTGGATACCAAGTCCGTTGTTGGGTATGCTTGAGTGCTTGCTATCGGCCCTCTCAGGATCATATTGCATTGGTGCGTTAGCACCAAGCCCTTCAAGCCGAAGTCTTGGACGGTCGGTGGGAAAGAATCGTAGAAGTGGGCGTCTTGTCTGGTTTTGTTGAACAACTTCTGGTGGAGGCTCAGGGATTGGCCAGACCATTGAGCGATGACTTGAAGTTTCGATAGTGGTGGTTGGGCTCGGTTCGACAGGGCTGACTGGAACTGCATTTGTATGTGCAGGACTCAAGAATGTTGGTCGGTTTTGTGGGATGACCTCTGGTGTTGTTGGTGTTGTTGGTGTAGTTCCATATGTTCTTCCCATGTTCTGTCCATTGTTCCCGGTGTCGAGGTATATTGGGACGTCGGGAAAGGCGGACCAGTGCATGGGACTCTTCTGTGGTTGAGACATTTGTGTAGAAGAACCCGGAATGATAATCGGGTATGGCATTAAAAAAGAGCCACTAGGAATGGGCTACTTGGATGAATAGTAAAAAGGAAAGAAAATGGTGAGGTTCTAGGTTGCAGACTGGAGATATGCCTGCTAAGGTGGAAGCTGTGGAATGCTTCTCAGTAGCTACCTTCAGGTACTACTATAACAACACTGAGCTGCAGTATAAGCCTCCACTAGTCATTCATATGATTGGACCATCCAAGAAACGTCAAACACGGCTGTTACTGCGGCGTACATACAAACTATGCCTTGATTCTGGGAATCGGTGCATTCCCGAAGCCACCCACCATTCAGAGCACGAGCTAGGCGCAAGGACCCGTCCCCAACCTCCAGCAAAGCATGCCAAGATAGGCGGCTGAGGGCAGTTGGCTTGACATCTGCGTGCGGCGTAGGCTTCGGGAGCTGTCATGCCGACGTACCGGTGAGGGTGTAGCCGTTCAGAGCGGGTGTATAACCGCTGGCGTGGCCGCATGGCTAGCCTAGCGTATTCTTGTTTGCCGCCGTGGTATTAAAAACAACATGCAAGTAGGCATATTCTTAGTTTTGGCCCCATGAAGTCACGTCAATGTAGGATTGTGGCACAGTTATATCAGCGCTTCGAGCCTCACCATGCCTTGAAACCAATGCTAATGCCAGAAAAATTGAAGAGGCGTGTTACATCTGGTGGACAGGCGAATGAAGATGAGTATTTCGAGTCTCAGAGGCTATCGCATGAATTTTCGTGGGTTGGTTCGTCTCGAAGGCGGCCATGACGGTCATGTTTCCAAACTTTTTGGGGGTCACGATAACGATAGCGGGGTCCCGCTATCGTTAAGCGCGGAGCCGACCACCCCACATCTTTAAAAATAGCGGCCAACCACAGCCCAGAGAAAATTTAGACACGTCGTCTAGTCGCTATTTTCCGAACATTCTGCATGCCTTCCATCGTACATTTATTATTTCAGTGCAAAGTGCATAGCACGTGCATGCATGTAGTATAATTCACGTGATAGTAGATCTGGTGTTGAAGTAGGTGATTGCCATGATTTGGATGGAGGCCTTCAAAACAAAAAGCATATCTTGAAATGGTGTAGTAGTAACACCGGGTTCAACGTCAGCTCTCATCTACTTCCAACACTTGGCCGGATAACTGATACCACCATGGCTTGAAGCTCAGTTTGTTATTCGATATATCGTAGCTCTGACACGTGTACCAACAGTGGCGCAGGATCAACCCAGACCATTGGGTCGCGGCTATCCATCGACATGCATCCGATTTGGTACGTTCACTAGAAAATCGTTCACTTGCTTATCCTTGTTTTCACTTGGCAACATTATTATTCGCTCATTAGACTGCTTCGATGACCGGGTCAGTCGGGATCTCTCTCTTGTAGCCGCCAGACTTCAATCGATATCATGGTCACATGAAGGAAGTATTGATACATCATCCTGAATGGCTTCGGTCTTGAGACGAATGGAGAAAAATGAGCTTCAGACTAACTCCATTCATTTTCTGGATGGCTGGTTTTGAGACATATCAGATGACAGTAGCTCCAAGCTATCGTTTGGAACGCCACCATATTGCATGGTTGTACATGGGGCTCGACGAAAAAGCGTTTATTTGATACTCCTATGTTGTCCAAGACAAAGCCCAGTTAGCCCGGTGGGCGATAAAGGCAATACGCTGTGCGGTTGTAAAGCACGCCATATTGTAATCATATCATAGCCGCTAGCTCGTTTGTAGTAAGCGAATCCCGTAGTTGGTCTTGGAGGAAGTAGTTGTGAAGCTTACAAAGCACATGCCTACGGTTTACTAGAGCTACTGTTCAAACTGAAACAAAGCATTTCATCATCTCAGGCCCCTGCTTTGTATCTAGATTCAACGTGGGGAACTTGGGGAGCTCCAGTCCGAGTGGATACTTGGATTACGACGTGGATCAACGGCAAACACACTTGCAAAGCATAAACCAACACATATGCAACTTCCTCTAATCTCGTCATTAGGTCGTTTCAAACATTCCTGAAGGATCAGATAAACTATCAGCCTCCTCCGCATCCACTTCCCGAGCGCTAAACGCAACGGCCTTTGCGAGACCGGCACATGACCATGTCTATCCCAGCCATGACTATGGCCATCCCAGCCATGTCCGGGTCTAAACCAGCCCCCCCGACGCAAAATCTTCTACGCCTTCTTCTCCGGTATCTCATGAAGTTCAGTGACACCATCTCCCTGTCCAAGAATCTTTGCCGTCGTTGCAGCCAGCTTCTCGCGATCTTGTTTCTCGCTCTCAAACAAGAAAGTAAGTTCCTCCAATGTCTTACCATATGTCTCCGGGAACAAAAAGTAGATGAAGACAATCTCGCAACTCAGTAGCCCGATGTAAACAAACAAAAACTTCCAGTCGAGATCTTCAAGTCCGATGGGATTCGTGAACGAGCCTAACATGACTGCGCATCTGTTAAATAGCTGGAACCAAGAGAGACCCTTTGTGCGGACATAGTAGGGGAAGATTTCGACCATGTAGACGTATGTGAGCGCATTGTAGGCAATGTTGTAAGAGGGCTTGTATAGGAAAATCATGGCGAGGACTGCAATGCCTGATTCTTTTGAGCCCGTGATGCGGTTGCGAGCTTGTGCAATGGTCCATGCAGTGTAGACGCATAAGAGACAGCTCGCACATAGTAGATACATTCTTCGCCGGGGAAATCGGGGCGTTATAGACGCCATGACGAGGGCCATGAGGAAGCCCCAAGCTTCTGATCCGAGATTAAATCGTAGTTGGGTGTGACTGTCTTTGATGCCGATTTTCTCCATGATGGGCACCAGGTACTGGCTGATGAGATTGTTTCCGCTGTACTGGACGAAAATGCCAAGGCCTGCAGCAACAAGAGCACGGTGTCGCATGCCTTTCGTTTGGAAAAGTTCTGCCCATCCTCGTTGACGTGAATCGTTTTCGATCTCGAGTGCTTTGCGAATCTCGGCAAGTTCGACATGCGGCAGTTCGTTGGAAGCATCACCTTCAGCATGGTATTTGATCAGGATCTCGAGCGCTTCCTCGCTTCGGTCCTTTGATACCAGCCATCTGGGACTCTCTGGTACTGTAAACGCGAATATGAGTTGGATGACGGATGGCGCGGCCTGGAGGATAGATGGAAGACGCCAGGACCAGTCATTCGGGATAAGTCTTGTACGCAAGACAATACCTGCACCAAGGACTGAGCCAACTCCAAAAAAGGCATTGAACATGCTACCAAGGAAGTGTCGTTCTTTCGGGTGACCAAGTTCACCTAGAAGTGCAGCACCTGAGATGATAGCGTACACAATACCATGACCAAGGAAAATGCGGCTGAAAACGAACATGGCCACTATTAGAACATTAGCCAAAACACCAGAATCGCAAAGCATCTACCTGCTTTAACTTACAGTTTCTTGACAATCCTTGCATGATTGATCCGATGATCATAATTGTAGATCCCACCACAATACTCTTTCTTCTACCCAGATGATCGGATACAAGCGAAACAAGCGGGATACTCGATATAGCGCCAATATTGTAACATGCGACCAGCAGTCCCAGTTGACCTCCCTTGGGATGATTGAAGTAGTTCTTCCAGTAACTCAGTGCTTGCATACCGTTCATCATGGAGCTACAACCAGTTAACTAAAATGACACAATCTTCAAACTTGGAAATTACCTGTCAAATCCCGACGTGGACTCAATGAAGAGACAAAATGGAACAAGAAGCAGATACAACCGTCGAAGATTCGGTTTGTTCCACCATCGCACCTTGTCCGCTGCGACAATGCGCTCGATGATGCCTTCACCCGCTTCTGCGACTATCGGAGCCATTTTGCAGGAGTCGTTGGAAAGGGCTTTGCTCCTCAGAGTTAAGGAACTGGGATGCCCCAGAACTCAAGAGACAGAATCACCTTCCCAAAACACCAGTATATATACATTCAAACTCTACGATTAAACCTAGCAGTAAACCCAGCAAACCCCACCGGCAAAAAACAACCTCCACCAACAACACCTCCAAAGTCGGAGCTGTATCCACCGAACCGAATTTCCCCCTCAGGCACCCCATCCTAGGCCCATCTTCTTTTCCACACTCATTAACCTTTTCGTATCAGTCTTGGCCGCTTGCGGGGTCGGCACCGACATCCATCCTCATACGTGGAAAAGCTCTCCGCCAGAGGCCTTCCCAGAAGCTTGTTAGCGAAGGAACAAAAAAAGGGCCTAACCGGCCTCCTTCCCGCGGGAGACCAAGAGAAAGAAAAAATACAAGGGAAACCGGGCCGTATTCTATGTGCGTATGCCGATCATTTCCCGCCCCCGCGTTTTCTTATGCGACATTGAACAGCAACATGACCATCATCGGCTTTGCCAAGGACACAACTATCAAGGAAACCCGAGCACACAAATCAGGTATCAGGACGTTACATTCCCTTTTTTTTTCCCTTGCAAACTACACCCAATTACCAAGTATCTAACCTATCAACGCACGCGACCACCCGAGCACACGAATCGGCCATGCCGATTCTTCAAGACCTCGCTCCCACGCGACCCAATCCATTTCACAACCACCTCCACCAACTCTACCACAACCCTCATATGACTAACCAAACCCTCACCTTGGTAATTTATCAAAGTCATCACTACCCCCAAAAATTACCCAAACCCCCCCTCCCCCTTCTTCATACTCTCTCTCTTCCCCATCTCACCTCAAAAACCTTACTCACTCCACATACACACATCTAACCCATACCCCGCTAATCCGGGGTACTTATACCCCCGCCTACGTACCGCTAATCCCCATCCGCCACGGCCCGTGTCAAATCAAGCCTTTCGCCTACCTACCCCACACACACACACACACACACAAACACATACACACATGCTCTCACACCCAGACCTCTCGCTAAACTAACAATGCAAGCAGATGATTAAGTTTTGAACTCGGGTCCCTCCCCCCCCCCTCTTCTTTCAAATATTTGTTGGTGGTGTATCTGAAAAAAAAAAGCCAAGTTTTATCAAGGGTGTGGGTTGGTTTAATATATATTGTGGCTTATTTCCCGTTAAGAAAGGGGAAGGGGGGGAATAGAATGTATATACATATGAATCTCGCAAGATGAGTACGAATTCGTAAAAAGGTTGTAGGTAGGTACGGCAAGTTCCGTGGGGGTGGTGGTGGTGGTGGTGGGATTAAGCCTGATTACCATACCCGAGTTTGGCACTTGGTTTTTAAGCTTGGCTGGGCTTGTAAGTATGTAGGCTGTCGTGCCAAGAGGGATAACGGCATAGTTAGCTTGTTCACACAAAGTTCTTTCGACGACTACAAGGTAAAACATGTTTGAGTAAGGGAGACATTAGAATGGTCGTGTAAAAGGTATCATATTCGCTTTTCCTTCAGACTAAGCTTTCTTTCTTTTTTTTCCCTTTTTCTTTTCCTCTCTTTTGGTGGAAAAGAATTTCCAGTCCTGTAACCAGAGGACCACAACCGACGCCGTAATATTCCATGATCATACACAAGACATAAATATCTACACAATAACACTCTAGTCTACCCGCTAACATAGCTCCTCAACAAACACCAAGCTGTTTACTTGGCGTTCTCGGGGCGGAGAGAGCGGACAGCCTTTCCGGCGCGCCAGATCTCAAGGTCGTCAATCTCCTTGAGTTCCTGCTTGTACTTCTCACGGTAGTCGGGTTGCGAGTTGTACTCGAGCGAGCGCTTGGTCTCGGTGCCGTTCTCAACGGAGGTGTAGAGGTCATCGAAGACAGGCTTGAGGGCATCCTTGAAGCGCTTGCTCCAGTCGATGGCACCACGACGAGCAGTGGTGGAGCAGGCGGCGTACATGTAGTCCATGCCGTTGGCACCGATCAAGGGGTACAGGGACTGGGTAGCCTCCTCGACGGTCTCGTTGAAAGCCTCAGATGGGCTGTGGCCACGCTCACGAAGAACCTCGTACTGGGCAAGGAACATGCCGTGGATTCCACCCATCAAGCAACCACGCTCGCCGTAGAGGTCAGAGTAAACCTCCTTCTCAAAGGTAGTCTCGTACATGTATCCAGAACCGACGGCAACACCGAGGGCGACGGCCTTCTCCTTGGCCTTGCCGGTGACGTCTTGGTAGACGGCAATGGAAGAGTTGATACCACGGCCCTCACGGAAAAGAGTGCGGACGGTACGGCCGGAGCCCTTGGGAGCGACGAGGATGACGTCAATGTCCGTGGGAACCTCGACCTTGGTGAGGTCCTTGAAGACGGGAGAGAAACCGTGGGAGAAGTAGAGAGTCTGAATCTGTTAGATAGATTCCCATTGAGTTCTAGAAGTCAGGACTCACCTTTCCCTTGGTAAGCTGAGGCTTGATAGCGGGCCAGGTCTCGGACTGGGCGGCATCTGAGAGGAGGTTCATGACAATGGTGGCCTTGCCAATGGCCTCGTCAATGTCGAAGAGGTTCTTGCCGGGGACCCAGCCATCTTGCTCAGCCTCCTTCCATGAAGCACCGTTCTTCCGTACACCGACGATGACATTGAGGCCGTTGTCACGCATGTTGAGACCCTGGCCGTGACCCTGGGAGCCATAGCCGATGAGGGCGAGGGTGTCGTTCTTGAAGTATTCCTGGTTTGATTGTTAGTTGGAGCTCTGATAGGAACTATGTCAATGTGATTGACGTGTCAATAAACTTACCAAAAGCTTCTCCTTTGGCCAGTCGGCACGCTCTGTTTGGCATCATCAGCTACCGTTTGCTTGTATTATACATCCAATCGAACCTACCGTAGACAGTCTCCTTGGTACCGGCAAAGTCAATGGTCTTGACACCACGAGTTTGCTGGAACTGGCTGGTAACGGCAGCCCTGGGGGCAGCCTTCTTTGCACCAGCACTCAGAGCAGAGACAAAAGTCCTCTTCTGGGCTGGAGCAGCCGCCAATTGGCGGGCGGATTGGCGGAGGGCGCGGGTAACGGGTCTTGAGGCCATTGTGAATGTGTGTGTATGAGGATTGGGGTATCTTGGGGTCAGAAATATTGGGCGGGGATGGATGGCTTTTAAACTTTCGGGCTCGACTATGACCACAGTTTGAATTTCGAGTTCTGGAGCTTAGACCACGCCGATTATCGCTGCCCCAGACCACTGACACCCGCTCAGTCGCCTCATCGGCCAATGAGGCGTCGGTATGTGTCCGGTGCGGGGCTGCTAGCAGGGGCGGTGGGGGGTCTTCGGGGAGAGATGCGTCTCTCCGACAGCGCTTCACATGGGAGTCGCTCCGTAACACAGTCATCTAGATGATTGTACCGAACAGATTGACAGTGCTCACTAGGGGTTGCATCTCCTATCGCTATCATGCTCCACAGCATTTGACAGCCACGTAGTTATCTTAGGTATCGCGCAGCGGTGGGCTAGCCAAAGCTTCGTGTTCTATCCGGAAAGGAACTAAGCTGACGGCACACAAAGTCTGCATGGTGATGCAATGCTCCCAAGTAAACATTGTTGCCACGCCACTGCATTGTTTTCCCGCTCAAAAGTTACAAGAAGTGTGTTGAGGATGACGCAGTCTTTTACATGAAGTTCCAGTCAGATTGGTATAAAATTTCAAACTACATACGCCCAAAAGCTGCTCCGCCGTTCCAAGACATGCCATGTCCTCATACACATGCTGCTCCCTATGTTTTCACATGCACATGCACATGCCCTTGATCCTTCTCAGACTGCAGCTGCTCTCGCCTCTCGTTTTGCACAAAAGTCCCGATGCCATGTCGTATCTCGTCAATATAGTCTCCCGCGGAAGAGCGCTGGGCACTTGCGCAGCGGGATGTAGAATAGCCCTGCAGATATGTCATGAGTCTCATTTGAGTACGCGGTCGAAGCTCTGTCCCTTGACTGTCCCACCACCTAGCGACGCGCGCACGTTGCGCTTGAAGCCTTCTCGGTTCGCCTTGAGGTCTTCTGCAGCCTCCTTGTTCAATGGATCCGAAGCGTTTGGTTCGAGGAAGAGAAACTGCGCCCGTTAGTTGTAGTCGCGCTCTAAAGAACCCTGAACCACATACCTGTAAGCCAACAACAACCGCATTCAGGTTCAATACTGGTTTCCAGTCTTCTCGCAGAATGTTCAGGCACACGTTGCCCTCAAGATCAATGTTGGGGTGGTAGATCTTTTGTGTGCACTTGACTTTGGGCGGGTCGTGTGGGAAGTTTTGGTTGATCTTGAAGTCAAATTTGAAGCGGCCACCCTTGTACATGCCCTCGTCGGGGTCGATTGTGAGTTCAAAGTTGAGGATATCGTCAGGGTTGGGAAAGTGCGTCTTCATCGTCGTGCCCAGAGACAGCTCTTCGAGATCTTGGGTCGTGTCAGCTACGCGCCTGTTACACTGCATACCTCGAACATTGTGTACCTTTTTGTGTGCGCAGTTGGGCTGGAGTGACCTTTTTCTTCTTGCTTGACGCAGCAGCCGCAGCCTCATCTTGCTGTTGCTGTTTCTTCTGTAGAAAGTCTGTCAGTATCCGACGATGCTCACAGGCCTCATGCGCAAGCCTCTTCTGCATAGAACCATACCATGGACCATATTTTCATCATCTTGGCGGTATTGTATGGGGTCCCTGGCTACTGTCTTCGAGTCGGTCGCGTGGGCTAGGAAGCGTGAGAGAGCGGCGGGGGAAAGCGGCGGGAGGCGGTGGACTGATGGACTCGCTGACGCGTTGGGAAACACGGGTAGCAGAAAAGGAGGAAAGGGCTACAGAAGCACAAACGCCAAAGGAAATACGTCTATGTAACTCGTAATGACGAGGAAGAACAGTCGGGCAGGCTGCCACGACGGTCGGGCGGCCGTGCCCTGACGTGGGGTCGCGGTCTCTTGCGCCACTTCCCCTGACTCAGCACTCTAGTACTCTCTCACCATGTCCACTGGCGCATGCTTTGACCACCTCAGGTTGTAGCCGGTATGCGACTTCTCAAAACTTGACAGAGCCTTTTATGCAGACAAATCTTTCAATTGTATCTCCAACACTTCAATTCACACTGTCATGACGCCGACACCCGTAAGAGAAGCCCTGCATTTTGCAGATGCGCAGAGCAAGCAGTTCATAGACTATATGCCGCCATTTCCCTCTCAGACACCAACGGAAAAGCCCTTTGTCACATTAACCTTTGCCACCTCCCTCGATAGTCAGCTTTCTATTGCACCAGGAGTGCAAACCGCGCTTTCAGGGCCACAGTCCAAGTCCATGACACATTTTCTACGTTCCAAACACGATGCCATTTTGATTGGGGTGGGCACGGCCATTGCTGATAATCCATCCTTAAACTGCCGAATAGAAGGTGTAGGTGGCTATGGCGGTGAGGGCCTCATTGGGCAGCCCAGGCCAATTGTTGTCGATCCACAGGGCCGCTGGCAGTTCAGTGTGGAGAGCAAGGTGTTCAAACTTGCTAAGGAGGGTAAAGGAAAGGCACCGTTCATCATCACTCATGTGGCACCATCCGACGCTCGCAGAGCTGTACTGGAAAGTGTGGGAGGCAAGTTCCTGCTTCTAGGGCCGTCACCTACACAAAAGAGCGAAACTACTTCTTCGTGGCACATGATTCTCGACGCACTGAAAGAACAAGGCATACAAAGCGTGATGATCGAGGGTGGTGGATTCGTCATAAATGATTTGCTCGGCCCAGGCCCTGCATATTCGCTCGTCGACTCGGTCATTGTCACGATAGCTCCGACATGGCTTGGAAAGGGCGGTGTCCAGGTGTGTCCTGATGGAGGTTCTGACCGACTGCCTGTCACCAGATTGAAGGATGTCAAATGGATACCACTCGGAGAGGATGTAGTGCTCTGTGGGCGGCCAAATATGTCGCTGCGGTGAGGAGACATGCAGTATTATATTGGTAGTCGTAATACACGAGTTCTGTTGAGCCAACCAGTTCACTCAATCCAAGGCAATTCATCAGAGACTTCCCCTTGGAACAGCTGTTTGACGCTCTCTTCCAGATGCTTGAAATGCTTTGCTCCTGTGCTAGCATTCCAGCCTCGTAGTTGCCTCTTGCCGCCAAGTAGGGTGCCAGTGCCCATGGGGTCCTCTTTCCACGCTGCATATCCAGATTTCTCTTCTCCTAGGAGGCTACTTGTCAATGCATCTTGTGTCATAATTGGATCAATACCCTGAACCTGGATGCGGTTCTTGGGCCATTTGATTGTTGGAGCATGCAATTCCAGGAAGCGCCTCGCTTTGAAAGCATGAGTGATGACACGAATCTGCTTGGGGTATCTGCCCGTGGCATTCCTGAATCGCAGGATGCTGAACAACAAGTTTTGGAACGAATCAGTGGCTTCCTCTTCTAGCAATATGTATCCCTTCTTATACAAACTGTGTATAGATGTAAGTATGCTTCATGCATAAACAGTCGGCTAACAGAGTCACATACTTGTAAGCACGGCCACCGCCCAAGTGGCCTTCGGCTAGTTCTGCTGCGAGTGCTGCATGATAGTAGGACCGGGCCTCTGTTTTCAGCGTGTCTGCGCGTTTGGTAGCACCGCCACTAAAGACAAGGATGCTTGAGATGGGGTGGTTGGCGTCTGTGCCCACAGTCAAGGCATCGATGCCGGCTTTGATGTGTGATACAAAAGTCTGGTGCTCGCCGGGTTTACCAGCAGCGACATGTGCCTTTTGGAAGGGAGCAAGAAGCCAATTGAACTCATCATAAGGACTGAAGAGCGGAAGATGGGGAGTATCGGCGTTGGGCAAGAAGATGGCGTGGCAGCATACAATGACGAGGGTATGTACATTTGGATAACTTGGGCGTGGGATGACATGCGGCGGATGGACGAACTGGTCTTGGTGAGGCAGCAACTGCCCGTGCTCAACGGTCGGCCGTGCTTGAACCTTTTCCGCTGTCTTGGCAGGGCTGGATGTAGATGCTGACAGCTGTGATTTGGACTCTGACTTGGATCTTGGGAGGTCCACCAGGGGTGCGGCTGAGGCCATGACGGCTCGCGCCGACTTGATCGATGTGGGGTAATGGTGCTAAAAGTCGGTGTGTGTATGTACCGGGCTGGTGAGCGGATAGTCAAGTAGATGGTGTTTGGGATGTTGCACGATGGGTATGGTGTGACAAGCATAAAATATGCGGGGTATGGGCTTCGCAGAGATGAGGCGAGCCAAGTGGGCAAATGGGCCAAGGCATGAGAGTGGTTGAGAGAGTCATTGTGCATGGCAGTCAGTCAATCAGTCAGTCACGTGGGAGAAGGTTGGATGTCATCTCGACTAGAGCACAACACTGTGGGTGAGGGTGAGAATGGCCGCAGCTGGCCTTCTGTTGAGACGCGGATGACGGAAGGCGTGATTGGGGCGCGCTCCTGACGCGAGACGGAAGGAACGCATGGCATGGCGTGCAGGCTGATGTCATGGGCTGTAAAAGGCAACTTCGCTTGTGCTTTTTGGGCTTTTTGTCCGCATACTCAAACAAAGCTTCTCGGCGCCACGGCTGCGAACAGTGGCGCAAGCTGCCGGGCGTTGGAGCCGTGTGTTGTAAAATAAGCAGCTGCAGTCTTCCCAAGCCGGTGAGAAGGGATGGCGGAATTTCGGTTGTGAGCAATATGTCTTGAACTGGCAGTAGGTGCAAGTGGGCCAGTGCCTGTGTAGAATTGTGCTTGGCCGGGTACGGCGTGGGCATAGGGCGGCCCGGCGGATACGGAGTGTGAGGGTCCAGGGAACAAGCCCACATGCTTTTGACCCGCCAGAGCGGCAGCAATAGCAGGTGCATCCATATCCAGTAATTAGTCGTGGCATTAACAGCGGGGAAAAAAACCTCCTGATGGCGTGGGCCCTGCTCCTGCGTCGTCGCAATCGGCGGGCCCCTGATGGACGATGGGGGGTCGATGGGTCGCTGGGTCGCTGGCCATGCGACTGGTGGTGCCTCCATGGCAGCCATTGTGAGTACTGTACTGTACACAGTATGCACCGCCAGACACAAGCACTGCATGTGCTCCGACTCGAGATGCACCCACAGGCCGCGGGCCATGTCGCAGTTAGTAACAGCGACAATGCACGCAACCCTTTTTTTTTTCCAGAAGACGTGAAGATCGCTTGGGTGGGCCGTTGGCGCACAAAGGGCAGGACTGGAAACATGGCTGACGTACCGTGCGGCCCCTGGTTGCAAGACGACATGCACAAGCAAATCAATCACCCATGGGCGCCGCCACACGTACATTCATAGCAGCGGGATGATTTTGGGGACCGGATACAACCCTAGCATCGCATCTCTACATGACAATAGTACGCTTTTTGGACACAGAGTAGCCGGGAAGGGCGATGGCGGTAGGGCTGGTGCGAGGCTGAGCAGGTCAGCGTGGAGCTGATTAAGGCCGTGGCTCTAATTTTAGCTCGGGGTGGCCAGCACGCGCCACACCGCCGCGGGCACAGCAGGTGCAGGTTGGCCCAACATGCCTGCCTGACTGACTGACTGCACTTGCACTTGCACTTGCACCTGCACTTGCGTGCTGCTAGTAGTGTACACCTAGTAACCCACCCGGCCCTGCAATCTGCACCGCCATCGTATTGGCTACCGTCAGCAGGCCTCCGCCCTGGCAAAGATTCAAGTAGACCAAGTCTGCCCGCTCTCCCGCAAGACAACTTGGCCGCCCGTATAATTACATTTCCCTGCCAGGCTTGTCCACCTGCACCCCCGAAACCTCAGGTCGACCAATTATCCTGTCCCTCCCTGCGGTCTACGCGTGTTTCAGCGCGGCCGTTTTCCTAGCGCAGGCTTCCCCCCATCTCCCCGCCCAAACAGGCTTAGCCCCCTCTTCAGCACCTTTCTCAGCCCTCCAGCGCCCCAGACACTGCATCGGCCTTTATCAAGCGACACCGCCAGTCGTGCGCTCAGTGCTCTTTTTTTCTTTCCATTGTTCCTCCCTACATCTCCACCCCATCTTCCCATCCCGCCTTGCCATCTGCAGCTCCTGCCTGCGGACTGCAGCTCGTCATGGCGTACAACAACAATAACCAAGGTTACCACCTTGGGGACCCCAACACTGGTGTACGAGCCCCTTATGGCAGCGACTGCAAAAAATAAAACAACAAGACTCAAGCCAAGCAACTAACACGCCCTGCAGTACGATCGCACTGAGCATGAGGAAGAGGTTGCCCGCTCCCTCTTGCACGAGAACCCCACCGGTGCCAACTCAGACCCTTTCTACGGCAACCCCGACCACCGCCCGCACTCAACCTACAGCTTGACCGAATCCTATGCCAACGACCGGCCAACTCAATACCCAGCACAGGGCCATGAGGGCACCAGCTACTCAGTTAGCGGTGGCTACGACCCAGCCAGCGACTTTGGCGCCGGTCAGCGTGCACCCTCACCATACGAGCGGAGCGAGACCAGCTCCACCGAGGCATGGAGGCAGCGACAGCAGCCCGGTGGTCAAGCCGGTGGCCTCAAGCGTGGCATGACCCGTAAGGTCAAGCTCGTCCAGGGCTCCGTCCTCAGTGCCGACTACCCCGTGCCATCAGCTATCCAGAACGCTATCCAGGCAAAATACCGCAATGACCTCGAAAGCGGCAGCGAGGAGTTTACCCACATGCGATGTAAGTTTTTTGTGCTTTTCTGCCCTACAAGCATTCCGCAGATCCGATTCTGACAGCTGCCAGACACGGCTGCCACGTGCGACCCCAACGACTTCACACTCAAGAACGGTTACAATCTGCGCCCGGCCATGTACAACCGCCACACTGAGTTGCTCATTGCCATTACCTACTACAACGAAGACAAGGTCCTCACTGCCCGCACCCTGCACGGTGTCATGCAAAACATCCGTGACATTGTCAACCTTAAGAAGTCCGAGTTTTGGAACAAGGGTGGTCCAGCTTGGCAGAAGATTGTCGTCTGCTTGGTTTTCGACGGTATCGACCCCTGTGACAAGGGTACGCTCGATCTGCTTGCCACTGTCGGTGTCTACCAGGACGGTGTCATGAAGAAGGATATCGACGGAAACGAGACGGTTGCTCACATTGTGAGTTGCACCAATATTTGATAGGATTGCAACGCATGGCTAACAGGGCTTAGTTCGAGTACACCACCCAACTTTCTGTCACACCTAACCAGCAGCTCATCCGCCCGCACGATGACAGCGCCAGCACTCTGCCCCCCGTTCAGATGATGTTTTGCTTGAAGCAGAAGAACACTAAGAAGATTAACTCGCACAGATGGCTCTTTACTGCCATTGGCCGCATTCTGAACCCCGAGGTTTGCATTCTTCTCGATGCTGGTACCAAGCCCGGTCCCAAATCGCTGCTCGCTCTCTGGGAAGGCTTCTACAACGACAAAGATCTCGGTGGTGCTTGCGGTGAGATCCACGCTATGTTAGGCAAGGCAAGTTGCGAATTGATAAATAAAACGGTTGCTTTTGCTAATTTTTTAACAGGGCTGGAAAAACCTGATGAATCCGCTTGTGGCGGCTCAAAATTTTGAGTACAAGATCAGTAACATTCTTGACAAGCCGCTTGAGTCGTCTTTCGGTTACGTCTCTGTGTTGCCTGGTGCTTTCTCAGCTTACCGCTACCGTGCTATCATGGGCCGACCGCTCGAACAATACTTCCACGGTGACCACACTCTTGCCAAGATTCTCGGAAAGAAGGGTATTGAGGGCATGAACATTTTCAAGAAGAACATGTTCTTGGCCGAAGATCGTATTCTATGTTTCGAGCTCGTCGCAAAGGCTGGATCAAAGTGGCATCTTACCTATATCAAGGCCTCCAAGGGAGAGACTGACGTGCCCGAAGGCGCTGCCGAACTCATTGGTCAGCGTCGTCGTTGGCTCAACGGTTCCTTTGCTGCCGGTATCTACTCCCTCCTGCATTTCGGCCGCATGTACAAGTCTGGCCACAACTTTGTGCGCATGTTCTTCTTCCACATTCAGATGCTGTACAACATGTTCCAGACTATTCTTACCTGGTTCGCTCTGGCTTCCTTCTGGCTTACTACCGTCATTATCATGAGTCTTGTCGGTACCAAGACCGACAACCGAGATGCTTGGCCATTTGGTAACACCGTCACTCCCATCTTCAACACCATTGTCACCTACATCTACCTCGCATTCCTGGTCTTGCAGTTCATTTTGGCCTTTGGTAATCGTCCAAAGGGTTCCAAGTACTCTTACTTGGTATCCTTCTGCGTCTTCGGTCTCATCCAGCTCTACATTGTCATCCTGTCCATCTACCTCGTCGTTCAGGCCTTTACCAATCCGTCCTCTGAGAAGCTGGATACCTCGTCACCAGAAGCATTTGCCAGATCCTTCTTCTCGTCAAGTGGTGTTGGTATCATTATCATCGCTCTTGCCGCGACTTTCGGTCTCTACTACGTCGCATCCTTCCTCTACATGGACCCCTGGCACATGTTCACCTCGTTCCCGCAATACCTGCTCATCATGTCCTCGTACATCAACATTCTCAACGTCTACGCCTTCTCCAACTGGCACGATGTGTCCTGGGGTACCAAGGGTTCCGACAAGGCGGATCTTCTGCCATCAGCCAAGACAGAGAAAGGATCAGATGGAAAGCACAACGTCATTGAGGAGCCTGATCTGCCCCAGGCTGATATTGACAGTGCATTCGAGGCCACTGTGAAGCGTGCTCTTGCCCCGTACGTCCCACCAGAGGAGAAGGACGAGAAGACCCTCGAGGATTCGTACAAGTCTTTCCGTACCCATCTGTGTACCGCCTGGATTGGTTCCAACGCTACCCTTGCCGTTGTCATTACCCAAGATAACTTTGACCGCTTTGGTTTCTCTGTAAGTTTTGATGTTCCTCTCTTCTCTAGACTTTGCTAACATGACAATAGTCGAACGCCTCTGCCAGAACCGCACACTTCTTCCAGGCTCTCCTGTGGTCTACTGCAGTACTTGCCTTGATTCGTTTCATTGGATGTCTGTGGTTCCTTGGTCGCACTGGTCTCTTCTTCTGCGTGCGGAAGAGGTAAAGTGGCGTATGCACTACTGCAACGTCCGCTTTTGTGTTTCTAAAGCCCTGCTTCGATTACCCTAATCAGATATAATTGGCGTTTCTTGGTGTCGTTGGGCTTGAGCAGCAGCTAGGAGCTGTGGTTTTTGCTTGTTTCCGAAAAGAAAAATATCACGCGCGCATGTCAGGCGTGGATTCACCGCGTGATTCCTCGTCCGACGTGTCACAGATATGAAATGTTTGGTTCCATTTGGAAAGGGGGAGCGGCAAAGACATCTATGCCCAATATTTTGTGTCATGGGAGGCCTGCTGGCTTGCTTTTATGCACGCTAGAGATGTATGGGCTTTTTATATTCAGACTTTAGATTGGAAATACCACAAATATGTTAAGGTTCCTGTCTTCGTTTCACATGTGACCGGTGACGAGGCTGTTTGCAAAGAAGAAATAACGTAATGTGGAAGTTGTTTCGAACGGTTTGATGTGTCTACTCAACTCTTAGATACCACTCACTACAAGTGGCGTTTTCATTTCCAATGGCAACAATTGGTGCATCCGTCCAAAGTTTCTCTATGTCCAATCTCTGAGCATATGTCTCCACTCTATCCTCTGTCAACGCCAACGCGAATACTGCGCAGCCAAAGAGCACGGGTTCAGGATCAACCGCCGAACACCTAACAACAGCATCTACACCAGCTGTCGGTATAAGAGTCCGCTGCCACACCAAATTCGTATTAGCATCTGGCTTGAGACTCTGCGCCCACTGCCGCGTTATACCAGGTCGTTGCTGCTCGTCCTGTAACCTCAACATGCGAACACCACTCGCACCCGCATCCGAACATATAACCGCCGAATCCCCATCTGTCACTGTACCTTCCAGGAACAACACCTGGTCTCGCTGCACAATAGCACTCTTAAACTCCGATACACTACCGAGTTCCGGAAGCACCTCCCCTTTCCTCCACCCCCGTCCTTGAATCGCAAACCCGCCCTGCACAGCCCTCAACGGCACATCACTCGCACCGTGATTCCTGATACTATGCCACCGTACATACCAATCCGGCCAACGCTTACACGGCGCAATAAGCAGCGTTGACACTATTATGTCTGCATCCATCCACGGCTTCCACTCGCTGCGCAGCGCAGGCACCGTTTCCGACACCTCGTCATTGTGCAGCAGGTCTACGGTGTCGAAACGCGGGGATTGCACTTTCCACGGTACGCGCCATGTGTCGCCACCGTCTTTACTTAGTGCGAGCGTGCTGTCTGGGGCGAGTTGCGGAAGTAGAGGACCGGTGGGAACGCTGAAGGTGAAGTGAGAGGAGTATGCGTATTTTCCGTATTTGGCCTCTGTGGCTTTGAGGGGCCAGGGGCAGAATTGGCCGGTGGAAAGGAGGAAGTGGTGGTTTGGGGTGTTGCAGAGGATGTGCATTGGTGGTTTGACTGGGACGATAGCAAGGGGAGTGTGGTTTGGTAGTGGTTTTTCCTCGGACGTCCAGAAGGGGTGGGATGATGGGAGGGAGAGTGCGAGGAAGGATTTCATGGCCCAATATGGGGATTGCGGGCTGTTGTAGTCTTCACCCAGGTACATGTTTGGGTAGGCGAAGCCGATAGTGAGGGTGCCGTCGCTATTGAAGATATCTGGTTTGGTGGCCCACCAGCGGAAGTGACGGAGGAGGAGGCCTTTGATTACGCCCCAGTCGTCCAAAGGTGCGGGCAGAGAGACGTCTGCGAAGGCGATGGCGGACCAGAATCCTGCGAATGCAAAGCGGTATGTGAGACTGCGGCCAAACGGAATAGCAGCGCCTGAGTTGGGTCAATCAGTAGCCATGTTATCAAACAAGAACCTCTGAATTCCAAGTCGTACATACCATTACCATCAAAATACCTCCAAAAACTCCCCGCAAACTCCCTCGCCCTCCTTCGAAACCGCTCGCACCGCTCCGGATCCAGCTCCGCCGCCATCTTCACATACACTAGCTGCGAAAACTGAATCGCAAAGCTTCCCGAGTAATAATCCGCCTGGCGTCCCTCATCCCCCCACATGCCATCCGCCGCCCACCCTTCCCCCCTATAAAACTCCTCCATGAGATCCAAATCCGCCTGCATAGCCCCCAGCACCTCTTCCCGCGGTACACCACACACGCGTACCAGCGCCAAATTCGTCATAACCCTAAACCACAGCCAATTCGTCGTGGGGAAATCCTTGCCATTAATTGTTTTGAGCCAAGTAGTGATATTCACTTTTGCTTGCTCCGTCTGCGAATAAAACAGCGTCTCCGGCGCCGCCAGCAGCGCAAAAGAAATGATTTCCATTTCCACCATGCGTTGGTCGCGCAGGACGACGGGGCCCCAGTACTCTTCATGGTTCGGGTCCGTCCCGTTGGCTAACCCTCTAGCAAACGGCTCGATAATTTCGGTTTTTTCAGCAGGACTCAAAGTGTCTGCGTGCGCTAAGGCGCCAATGGCCCAGAGAGGGCGTGCAAAGCCTTCGAGTTGCGCGGCGACATCGTCAAAGTGCGTGCCGGTTGCTAAGGCGAGTTTGATGCGCGCACCGCCTGGGGAGTGGAAGGGGTGTAGTGCGTTGAGTAAAGTTAAGGCTGCGGCTTGGAATTGAGGGCGGGTTTGGAAGGGGTTCTCAGAGAAGTCTGGGAGTGGTGGCATTGTTGATTCATTAAACTCCTACTCTTCTTTCTCTCCACCCCTCCTTTTGCCTGCCGATTTTCCAGTGTCTCCAGCGAGAATCGTAAGATGCTGACGCGGGGACGGCCTATGTAGGTTTGTATAGTAGTGTTTTTCTCGATATTAAGGATATCACTTTAGCTTATTCAGTGGGGGGGTTTCAACCAGGCGGTTGGCCGGTAAAAAACGGTTGCAGTTTTGCGCACGCCCTGCATATCAACCAACGCCTCTTTCCCCGCATTCGGACTAAAAAAGGTTGCAAGTCCGACGCAAAGTAGTTTGCCCTGGTCCCCCCAAGGTAACAAGTAATCCCGTCCCCCAGATTGATCTGTCCAACCCGTTGGTAGAAAGTAGAGTTTAAAGGTGCGGGAAAACGTGCTCGCTCATTAAAAGTGGACTGATGGGCCGAAATGAGTGCTAGTTCCGCGGGGTTGCGCGTGTGGAGCGACTTTAAGGTGATTTATCCCGATGCCCGCTCGCTGTAACTCCTTCTAAGCCCGCTACTTTTCTTCCTTTTTGAATAATAAAAAACGCCTCTTTGCGAAGATGTCGCGCTGATGTCGGCTAGCTGGACCAATTACTCGGTGGCTGGCAATGGCAGCCAAGCAGCCGCTCATGAAGACGATGGGCCCGTCTCAGTAGCAGGCGATATCCCTGCCTGTGTCAGCTGCAAGCAGCGCAAGCTACGTTGCTCGCGCGAACTGCCTTCGTGTACTCATTGTCTGAGGCTCTGTACGTCGTTGCGTTTTGAATAGTAGTAGTGATATGGTCATCGCTGATCCTCACACGCAGCCTCGGAGTGTGTGTACCAGCCCAAAAACAAGCCTGGCCTTAAGCCAGGCGCCGTCGAGGCCTTGACCCGCCGCGTTGGTATGCCGATCTGAGATCTTTCTAGGTTTACTTTGCAACGCGTCTTACAATTCTACAGCTCTTCTAGAAAAGATCCTTTTGGACGAAAACGGTCAGGTTCGTGCGCGATATGTAGATGAGGATGCAACGACCAAAGGGCAGGCCATTGTTCATGAGACGCCACCCAACACGACCGCGACTACGACCACGGCCATGACCACGACAGAAGCCGCCTTTCGTATTCATGAGCAGCCTCAATCCACTAAGCCTACTTCTGAACAACGCTACGTAGATATCCCTAGAGAAAGCGCACCAGAAGTACCCAAGGAAGAGAGCATGGCGCCGAATCCTTTGAAAAGGAGACACCACACGCCTGTTCCTGAGACTTGGCTTTTCCCGTTTGCAGATGTCGACATTGCTCAACACCTTCCGTCTCAGCCACTTCTCGAGAAACTCGTGGATTTCTTCTGCATCTCTTTCCACCATTGGATCCCATATATTCACAAGGCGCGGCTCCAGACACGGGTGCGCCAGGGCTCACAGGAACCCGGCCATGTCCTTGTTCTCCACGCTCTAGTCGCTGTTGCTTTGCGACACATGGAACCCAGCGTGCTCTTTTTGGATTCCGACCAGATCCACCAGCAAATAAACATTTCGCGCATGATTGTGGAGACACATGCGATGCGGAATGTTACGATTGAGAGTCTACAGGCCCTCATCTTCCTTGTATTTGATCTCTTGAATGACGGCCAGCCACAGAGGGCTTGGCCATTGATTGGATCACTGACTAGGACGATCGACTACCTTCAGCTCACTACCGAGCCGTCGCTCTTACATTCCAGATCACTAATGGCACCTGTGCGTCTGGTGAAGCCTTCGAATGACTGGACAGAGCTGGAAGAACGCCGGAGATTGTTTTGGATCATCTTCTTGCTTGATCGATTTTGTTCGGCATCTACAGGGTGGAATACCAGTCTCACTGCAGAAGATGTCCATCGTCGATTGCCAGCAGATGGAGGCTATTTTACCCGTGAGGAGCCTGTCACCACTCCGTATTTCGGTACGTAGCCATACTTGAAGGGTGCCTCAAAGATACATCTACATCGGTTTTCCAGTTTTACTGATAAACCGTGACAGGAATCTGGAACAAAGCAGCAGCCCGTATCGGACGCTCATTAGCAAATGTACCTGCACAGTACAATGAAGATGACCCTGGCACAGATTTGCCTCCAGGTGCCAGTCCAAACTCGACAAACAGCTACATAGATGCATCTAAACTTGGTGCTTTCGCGTATTGCGTTGAGGCAACTGAGAGTCTGAGCCAAGTAACCACATTCTTCCTCCAGCAACGGATCAACTGGCAAGACAAAGAGCATGCTGTCAGCTGGCTGACGCGGTTCAAAGAGCTGGATCTTCGGCTCGTACAGTGGAAGATGTTTCTCCCACCCAGATGGAAGGACTCCAACATATCTGCCGATCGAGCAGTGGTGGACATGGACCCAAATCTAACTCTAGCACATATTACTCATAACACATCGATGATACTGCTACATCATCCAATTGGATACCCACCCAAGGAATGGAACGACTTCGTCGCGCTCCCTAAAGAATGCAGTGCGCAAACATGCGAGCTCGCGGCTGTCGAAACTTCCAACATCGTCAACAAGTTCCTAACCCACACCCCCATACCCTTTGTCAACGTACAATTCTCCTTCTGCGCCTTTGTCGCCGCCAAAGCGCTCCTATTCGGCCACCAAGCCACCCGACGCCCTCTCCAACCCGAGTTCAACCGCCTAGTCCACGACCTCTGGGAAATGGCCACCCGCTGGCAAAAAGGCCGCGACACCAACCAGCGCCCCAACAACCAAGCCGGAATGTACGCCGACCACCTCGAGCGCCTCCAAGAAGCCTGCCACCATGACTCCCACTTCCGCTTTGACTTCTACGACCACAGCGGCATAGCACTATACCCGCAACACTTTGCAAGTCCAACCTACGCACCCACCCCGCAAACCCGCCCAGACAGCTCCGCCACCGATCGCCCCATAAAGCACCACACCCGCAAAACCAGCCTCACAACCCCCCAGCTAACCCTCAGTCCAAGCACCAAGCCACCACCACCACACCAAGACCACTCGCATCACACCCTCACATCCCCCACAAGATACATCCCACACCCCCACCAAACCCACCTCTCCCCACCCACCCCCCAAACCCCCATCTACAAATCTCCACACATACCGCAAACACCTTCTTACCCTCCTCCACCTCAGTCAATCTACCACACCGGCGCACCGCCATCCGGAAACCCACCCTACAACACCACCAGTCTGGGCGCACAAGGCACGCAGCAGAGCGTACAAGACCAATCACTGCTGAATCTCTCAGATGCATTTATGGATTCGCACTTTCTAGACATGGATCGCGTAATTACGTTTGAGGAGGCGAGTTTTCTTTTGCCGGGCGATGGGTTTAGGTGGCAGTGATTATGAGGTTTGCGGTATTTGAGAGATGTAAGTCTGGAAAGGGGAAAGGGAAAGGGAAGCAGGAAGTGAGTGAGATGGATTGAGGTCTCGCTTCGTGTGGTGGTGAGTTGCGGATGATGTGGTAAGAGGATGTTTGGTTGGAAGAGAAAGAGAGAAAGAGAGAGAATGCAGGATATATTTTGGTTTTTCTTTTGGCATTACTATAGCCACATTGAGGTTTTCATGACATGATAATTCCCGTAGTTTTAATAGACTGTTCGATACCCCCTTCTTTATATGATAGCTTCGAGACGAGTGAATGACAAGATTGTAAGCTAAGAGACTGATGTTTTGCAAAAGCTATAAAGCGATAGTCCGGCTTCTGATACTACATCGAGCTCCTCTCCGCAGCGTACCAAAAGCCTACCCTTCTGCTGCTGGACTGTCGATATAAATGTCCTGCCATATGACCTCCCGCCCTACCCTTCCTGGCCGTCCCCTTACATCTCAATCAATCGTCAGTATCAAACTGCATGAGTACATCGAACTCCTCCTCATAATATTCCCCTTCATAATCAGATCCATCAGATTCATCAGATTCATCAAATTCGGATGGGTCTGGCTCTGGCTCTGGTTCTGGTTCTGGTACTTCAAAGAGTTGTACACGGCAGGTTGGACACGTGTTTGCCGAATTAAGCCAGGCGGTGATGCAGCGGTGACAAAAGACGTTATTGCAGCAGAGCATCCGCGTGGGTACGCGGCTTTCGGCATCTTCATTAGTGGCACCATCTGGGAGAGACGTAGAATCCGATTCAGTGATATCGTTCAGGGTACTAGGTGCTGATGTAAACTGCTCCTGACAGATGGGACAGTCAGTGTCTTCATCCGGCACGGGACACGCTACGAGGCGGTGGGCGAGGAAATCGGCTTTAGTAGGTAGGTCGGGCATTGCTGTGGTAGGCTGGATATGCTGCGTGAGAAATAACAGGCCAGAGTAGGACGAGTCGAGCGTTGCGGTTGTTTTAAAATGTGCCGTGGAGAGCGCGCGGCCTTGTTTGTGGCATGGGAGAAGTGAAAGAGCCAAAGCAGTGACCACATGCAAGCCTTTCAGGTAAAGCCCATGACCTTCTGAATGCTCAATGGATGATTGTGCATGATTGACATCAATTCATTAAACCATTGCCGTAGCTCTGAAATATCGTTTGCTAGACGACGTTTGCACTTCCAGCCGATCACGGTGCCCATTTCGCGATATTGTTCGGGATCAACCTCTTGAACATGTCCAGCTGCTTTGCATGAACCGCCATTTTCGCACTCAGAATCTCCGGTCGTAACTGTAGAGTGCGATCGATGCGCTGCTGGGAGCCGCTAAACACGACCGTGTAGTCTGGTAGATGAGTATTCGGGGGCAAGGAAGATGCAGCTGTAATAGTGCAATACTATATATAACGTTTTAGAACTTGGAAAACTATAAAATCGTGGAGGAGTAGTCTCGCATACCTTTCCAATGATGCTACCCCTCCCTATCACAGCACCAACTTCAATCACAGTGCCTTCGCCTACTTCGGCAGCTTCAACCACTGCGTTCGATTCAACGACTACGTTTCTTCCGAGTACCGTTCCCTCACTCCTCATAGATTCTCTGACATTCGCATTACTGCGTGCTGATATGTTGGCACGCCGACCTTCGCTATCCAATTCAGTTCCCATGCCCACGCCGACTTTTGCTCGCTCGAAAATAACGCATCCTTCGTCCAGAACGACGGGCGCCAATGCGCTGCTGAGCTTGCTATGTGGGTGCAGTACGGTATTCGGCCCAATCGTTATCGGGTGAAGACCGGTAAGTTGCGCGTGCTGGGCAATGAGGACTGAAGAGTCTAGCACAATCGATGACGGCTTCGGAAGCAGAGATGTACGTTTTGGTGCTCCGGAGACACGGCGATCCGATGCGGGACGGCCTGTAGTTAAATTGGCTGACATTGGTGAGGTTGCTTTCTGTATGCGGTGTTCAAAAGAGCTGGAGCTGCAATCAGTAGACGCATGGGAAAACGCGCTACGGCGTTAGCGTATCACCGAGTCACATGATACCGTACTCTGGTAGGCGCATGCAGTGCTGAATCTGGCATTCTAATTATCTTTCATGTCACCTATTTATCTTCAATAACATGAAATGCACCTTATTTCCACAAGCTCTCAAGTGAAACTCGTGTAGTAAAGGGGTGGGTATCTCATAAACATGCATTACTACATATCACATCCATTCATCCTGTATACTGCAGACGACCAATATAGTCATCTCGCAGGCGACATATGCTCGATCTATCAAATCAAAAACCATGCCAAGCCATGCAAACAGACAGCCAACCGTTCAAACACTACACCACAAACTTCCGCGCTCCATCACCACTCGACTCATGGCCTTCCCCATCACTGTCAAGCTCCGCTTTCTCAGGGCTAGCACACTTCTCTGGAGAGTTTCTCCCGAAATCATGGCCTCCCTCTCCTTGTCCTTCGCCGCTGTGCATGCTGTCGTCGTCAGATGAGTCTTCGATGCCTTCAAACATGCGAGCAAAACGCTGGTGGCCTTCGCGTTCTTCCTCTTCTTGCGTCTTGGGCAATGAATCATCGTCTAGGTCGTCCTCTGCATCACGCATCGATTCGATTTGGGCCCTGCGTTGGGCGAGCCGGAGAGCGAATTGGCGACGCGCTCGCGAGGGCGGTACTTGCAGAGGCTGTGGGATGCTTGACTAGAAAAGGGTCGGTGTCAGTGTAACAGGTCAACGGCTAGTGTGAATGCTGATCAGCGAGACGGAGATGGAACGCGACTAAAAGGAACTACAGGGGAAGACCGAGATTGAGCAAGCAAACATGACGGTGAGATGAAGACGGCGGTAGGGAGGGCATGCTAGATCATGGAAATCATCTTTTCACACAAAGGAAATGATGAAAAACCACATCTCACGATGTGTATTACTAGATGTATCATACACCCTGTTGGATGGCCGAGGAATGTATGTACAGAAGAAATGGTGTTTGTTCCATGGATCCAGCATGTGAGCCCTCTACCAGTCCCAACTCATGATACAAACAGGTATAAGAAAAGGAAACGCACCAAGGGCGGAAAACGATCGTGGTGGTAGTGTGTGTATGGTCGGGGCGATGTGATTATCGATAGTCCATATCAGCATCGTCAAATGAGATTTCACCCACTTGTTCGGAGTCGTCGACAGGTCCCTGTCGTTCCCGTTCTCTCTCGGTGTCGACATCGTCCATGTCTTCGTCTTCTTCATCACTCGAGTTAGTAAAGCCACTAAGCAAGGAGCCACCGCTGAAGGTGTACCCACCACCTCCAGTGTCACCGGCATTGGTGAGCTCCATGCTGTCGAGGCCTATAGCACCGTTGCCGGCGAGGCTAGCGTTGGAGAGTCCCCCACTGTCGCCTACAAAGTTATTCGCCGCGTTGACAGCATTAAGCACCGCTTGTCTTGGGCCAACGCTCATGTCGGGTCGTACTCCTCCTAGGATGGCATTGTCTCGTTCTCGTGTCTCGGCCAGGACGTGTTCGACGTAGTGCACCCACTCCTCAGCGTGGACCTTTTCCAGGACCATGGGTGAAAGGACTTCATCCGTGTGTCGCTCAGTAAATTTGAGCACTTCCTCTGCGATTAGAGTAAGATGGCCCATGTATCCTAGCCGCATGTGTGTCTCCTTGTGCGACTTGTCGCTCTCTTCTTGTCCCTTGATGATTCGTTCAGTGATGGCGCCGCTGTCGAAAAGGTTAATTGCTAGTTGCCGGTTGTACCCATGCTCCATCTGGCCATTGAACACCTGCTGAACAACGTCATATACCACATTGTGTAGAAAATTGTTCCAAGGAAAACGGAAGAAGAAGTCCTGCAGATGTCAGAAGTTACAGCCAGTGTTCTAGGTGAGAGCTTACAAGTATAGTCGGCACAACTCTGTTCTCGACAAAGGTAATTTTCAACAAGTCACCAACCACAGGCGTTCCGTCAATATCGACCTCGAATCCTACAGTCTCTTCTGTGCTTCCAAACACCACAGAGCGGACGCTTTGGGTTTCGTCAATCGGTGTGATTTCAGAAAGATCCGATCCTGGCACTGGTGCAGTGAACCGCGAAGTATCGACCTTCGCGGGCGAGGAGCTATTGTCGCGGTTCTTACCCGCAAAAAGTGGTGCTGGTTTATCGTCAGGGTGAGGTGATAGAGGAGGATCTGGTAGATCAAGGTTAGCAGACTCTGAGGTCTGATTGAGCTGCTGTGTTAGCAGGGATGGCGAGGACTTGGTCTCGGTCTCAGCCTTCTCGATCTTTGCAGATTCCGAGGGCTCGCGACGATCGTTCATAATAGTATCGTTGCCCAGGCCGAGATCGTCAACCTTGGCTGTTAGGCCCGCCGATGTGGGCGATTCTGCATCGTCTATAGGCTTGGCGGGAGAAGGAGCCGCTTCAGCAGACGCAGTAGAGTCTTTGGGTGGTGTGAGAGGCTCATCAACGAATTCACCGTCGTCACCCACAGCCTTGCCGGTGGGTGTTTCCTTGGGCGCATCCCTAGGAGCCACTTTAGGAGAAGGTTCTAATGGCTCACCAATCTGTTCTTTGTCATTCGCAGTCTCTTTTGGATCTTCAACAGCGACCTCTGGCGCAACAACCTTTTCAAAATCATCCTCGGAACTGTTCTGCACATGCAGGGGCTTAATCTCAGCAGGCGAGTCCATGGATGGGGCGCGCGCATGGTGGAACCCTTGGCTATCGACACTTGTAGAGAAATCGCCAGGGTTCCCGGGGTTGGCTGAAGTTAGTTTACCATCGGCTTTCAAACGTTCTCGCTCGGCATCTCGTCTTCGGACTTCGGACTCACTACCGCGCTCATTGAGCAGCGCCATGTTGCTACAGTGTAGCAATTCAGCCATTAGCTCGCAAGTCTTGAAGCGGTCGAATCCGAGAGGCTCTATCTTGTCACCAAAGGCCGTCTTGAGCTCTCGCTTCTTCCTTGTGATGGTGCCATCTGACTCTGTCACTACCTGGCTGGAGCTATTGACCAGCTCCATGAACTGCGGAATATGGTTTGCAAACTGTCGAAGTAGTGTTCCCAAGTAGATGGGATCTGAGTTCTTGGGCACAGGTCCAATTTGATTCTCCAAGTCGTAGTCGGAATTGTTTTTTCGGATGACCTCGATAATGATGCCCACACCGACAGTAAGTGGGTTACCGCCGTGGAGCATGTACTCTATCAATTGCTTGAGACATGATTCGGAAACAAGTTGCCGAGTAAGCTCATTTGGCCCAATTACCGACTGGTCCTGTGTCGTGGCGTTGGCAGATATAGTAATGATAGCCTTGAGGAAATCGCCGGCTGATGTTTGAGTGGAGGTCGATTGGTCCGGTCGAAGGAAGGCAATCAATCGTGGGACGAGATCCTGCTGCTGTAACCACTGCGCTTTTGTCAGTCCTGCCTGTCGGTCTGAATGGCTACACCCACATCAACAATGCCTTGGCCGCCTTCGCTCTTCTCAAGGCTGATAATCTTCAATAACAAGTCCATAATGACTGGGCAGTCAACGTGTTGGAGCATGTCTGGCACAACGTTGTCCAGAGACTTGAAGAAGTCGAGCATCTCCTCCATCTTGCGGTCGAGCAGCGACTCGTTGACTTTGGTGAAGTAACCGGCCTGGACAGGGTCGAGCGGGGCAGGCTGCTTGATGTAGGCCCAGAACTGGCGCAGGCTATCCTGATTCTCGAGCACGGCTTCCGATATGGACCATACTTCAGAGGAGAGGATTTCGCACGATACGTAAGCGTACTTCATCCGCTGGCGCTCCTCCTTGCTCTCCTCGGTGTCGCCTGCGTCCGACTTTGTGGTCGAGGTTGAGCGGGCCCTGACTCTGCCAAAGAAGCCAGCGCGGCTGGGACTCCTCGCCTCATGCGCCAG